CTAGTCATCAGATGAGTAGTTGTCGTAAGATGAACAAAAGAAGAAATAGAGGCTGCTCGGGAACTCCTCGCAATACAAGGAATTTTCGTCCCAACTCTAATATCCAAAGACTACACAGACGGAAAAAAATTCGAATCATTTAGAAGCGTGAATGTGCGAAGCAGCAGCAGACACTGGACGAAGAAGTATCACGGCAAGGCATGAACATCCATGGGATGCGACAGATAGCTGAGGTGTTTGAGAAGATGCTGAGAATTTCTAGCAGTGGCTAAGAAACGTGGACTGAAAGATAGTGATGTGATCATAATGACACAAAACATCCACAGAAGCATCCACAAATCTATCGCACCAGATAGGATCCAAGGTGCAGACAGGGCAAACCTAAATATCAAGGGCTATCCAACACGTAGTGTCAGAATGTAAGATGCAAATTTAACGACCCAACGAAAGTATCTACCAATGGTAGAGCTTTTCAAACTCCGTTCCGTGGAACATTAGTAAGTATATTGCAAAAATTTTACCACGTCCCAGTCTCCACCATGTCCCACAGTCCCGTGCACTTACCACGTCCCAGAGCCTGCACATATCACGTCCTACAGCCTGCACTCATCACGACCCACGACCTCCTCCACGTCCCATCACCTACTCAGTGTATGAAAATGATTTGTACCGATGAGTATTCACTTCTCCCTTCGTTTTTACGAAAGGCCAACGTTCATAGTTCAAATGATAAAGCCTTAACATCGTGATAATATTGAACGATACAGAGAAAAAAAAATGGACGAAAAAGTATGGGCCTTGAGGGAATCGAATAAAAAGTGGCAAAAATAGTATGGCACGTGAGGAGAAGCTGAGAAATAAAAAGGAATAGGCGGTATAGGAAACATTTAATCGCGTGGAAATAACCAAGTCTGATCGCTTCGTCGACGGTCGTCGTGGGTGTGTGTCATTGTTTATTGTTTTGAGTTTCTGGATTTTTGGTTTCGGGTCAAAGTTTGGTGCTTTTCGGTTACTTTTGGCCATATTTAAAGCCAAATGATACCAGTGGCCCATTTCAAGTGTTAATAACATTTTTTGTTAAAACATTTGGTTATAATTTTTGTCAAACAGTGCAGTCATTTGCATTTTCATCAAAAACTAAAATTCCACTTTTTAAAGTCATTTCTTAGTTATACTTGGCTGGTAAAAAAGGAAAAACCTATTAGAACTTATTTAGAAGGACCCAAAGGACCTCAAGGGTCAACAAGCTGTTTATAAGATTGGCTTTTTTATTTGTCGTTTTTTCTTTTTTATTCTTTTTAACGAATAATTCTCCTTTTGCAAGGCCATTCATTAAATTATTTCGATTTCGATGAATTTTAAAAATTTTTTTAGTCTAATGAATGAAATCGTTGAATGAGTTTAGTGGCAATGGAGTCATCCCAAACTTCATTTTTCATGGTCTTATAATTATTAAAATTTATTAGTTTGATGATTTTGAATTTGTATACGTTTTACTACTGTGTGTGGATGTGTAGATTTCACTATTCGGCTGTTATATTCAATTTGGTCCCTAAACGAAAATATACTTTGGTTTTTTTGTTGTTTGTTCGCCCAGTAACGTGTTTTGTTTTTATTTGCTCCATTTCGTTTTGTTTCCAGTTGGGATTAATTTCCAGGATAAAAGAAATTCGAGGTCAGATTCGTCGCTATTTAATTTGGTTTCAAATGTTTTGTGGAGAATCGTTTATGGAAAGTCTTTATAAGGCCATTCAGGCAAAAAGTACGCATTAGCAAAAGTATACGTATTTACAAGAGCGATTTTAAGTTTGAAAGGTGGCTAGTTTATAGATATTTTGCCTTTATAATGCTAAAATTCAATAGAAATATTCTTCTTCTTCTAATAGCTCTCACCATTATTAGTTAGGCTGGCTTCTGCTGCTGCAAGGAGTAAGACGCTCCTAAGCGGCGCGGTCTGATGCCGTCGTCGACAGTAATAGAAGCCATTCCTTTTTCCATCGTCTAAGTCAATATATTGCTGGTCCACCTATACGCTCAAAATCTTTTCTGATTGTATTAATCCAGGTATTGTTTGCTTTTGATTCCACCCATCACATCGTTTAGCAAATAACGAAATATGAGTCAACTTCTGTGGTGGACGACGGAGAATATGCCCTAACCAGCGAAGGCGACGCTCTGTAATAATATTATTATTAATACAGGTGGTATTTGAGCGAAGAATGTTCTTGATTCTATAAACCACATTTTCAGAACTACAGTGACTGTTCCATATACTAGTTCATTTTTTTTTATAGAGATAATAAGATCTCTAGTGAACAATATTCATATCTTCAAGTATATCGTCTAATGGTATTTCACTGAGTCTCGGTCTCGAAAGATTATTCTTCTTCTAAGAATTCTCATCATTACTGGTTAGGCAGGCTTCGCTAGCCACAAGGGTAAGACATCTTTAAGCTGCTCGGTCCGACGCCATCGCTATTAGTAGAATCCATTCCTTTTTCCATATATGGCTGGTTCCCCTATACGTTCAAAGTCTTTCCTGATATCAGTCCAGGTCTTTACTGGCTCTCTTCTCTTTGACGCCAACCATTGCCGCATTCGGCAAGTAGCGAAATATGCATCTACTCCTGTGGTGGACGACGAAGAATCTGACCTAACCAGCGAAGACGACGCTCTGCGATAATGTTATTATTAATACAGGTGCTATTTCAGCGAAAATGGATACAATCATGTGTGATTTTATCTTATGCTCTATGAGCGGTTGTGTCCTCTATTCATTAATTAATAAAAATATGTATATCATTATTTTTTTATCACTTGATTGTATTATTATTTTATAATTTATTACTTTTTATTTGCTATTTACGAATCGTACGAATCAAATTTTTTTTTCTTAAGATTTTTTTATTTCATAAATTACCTTTAAATTTCTCTTTTTTAAAATTTAATTATTCTCTGTTTTTGGCAGGAGTAAACCTGTCGTGATGTCGAAAATCCAAGTGGCTGCTGGGGACCCACCTCTATCCCTATCTCCAAGTGACTGTAGAATGAAAGGGTCTGTTCTCTTTGACACACTCGAGGAATTATCATGGTCACTTTATTCATAATCTAACATGTTAATGTTAATTGCTTTGTAGGATTGTCTTGGATCGGATAAAATTGATCTATCTCCGTTTCAGAGAACGGCTTTTTTTCTGTATTGAAACGTTGGGCAACTAGCTGTTTTTCTGTTAATATAGATTTTTTGTCCACCCACGATTCCTTCATACGTTTTATATCCCGTTCATTAGGTCCACTGTGTAGTAACATTCCATCAGTTCCATGTTATTTTGTCTTATCTATATAAAATTAATTTTATCATTGGGTTGCCGCAGTTCCTCAATATTTACCGCAATTCTAGTAATCTGAACTATAAGACAACCCTAGTTCCTCAGCGCGGTCCTTATTAATCTGAGCAACATCCAAGGTGGGATGACTCCAGTATACGATCTATTCGAAGTTTAGAGTAGAAAAACTCTCATAGGGGTCCAAACGCCTTCATTAGAAAGGCCGCGATTCAAAGTTTTGATCTTACGATCCACATTCTCGTCTCTTAATGGATCCGATATCGTTCTTTTCTTTTCCACTCCTTTTTTTCACGTTCTGAAGGCCAAGATGTCCTGCTGTTATCCAAGTTAAAACGCTTTGTATTTTTTATATTACTTCAGAGGAAATAATTAAAAATTTGTGCAAAAAGTTGGCATTGTTAATTGATTTTGAAATTTTGCCTAAAAAGTCAAATAATTTGTCAGATAATTAATTTATTTCTTCTCTTATTTGCATTGAATTAACCGAGCAGAGCATAAAAAAGCCATTATATCATTTGAATTTCTTGAATATTCACAAAAGTAAAAAATGTAGATAGCTTATTGGATTATTGCTCTCTTTTCCGTCATTTCTGAGCGCTCATGGTGGTATTCTACCCCCGTCGAGAATCTGTTTTTCAAAAATCCTCGTTGACGATATTATGCTAACCCCTTATGCTTGTATCGTCGAATGATTCTACTCATCTGATCCGACAAACCAGCGAAACGGTCGTAATCGGAAGCTTTTGGAAAGAAAAATATAAGGAATTCACAATTTGATGTGAAATTTTTAATTATTCATATTTAAAGATATTGAGAGAGTTAATTTCATAAGCTACTGATGAAAAGTAAGGTTTTCCGTGTCAAAATCGATTATCGATTATGTCAATTCGATTGGCCGTTATATTCTTCGATCGCCATTTTATATATTTAGATATATGCACATTCAGGTTCTTTCTTAAATTTCCTATATTTTTTTCTCAAATCTTCTTTGTGATAGTGAAGATAAGCCGTACGATTCTTCATCGTCATTTGTGAAAATTTTGGTTGGTTGTTTCTCTTACAAGTGTTTTATTGTTAAAAAAAAGGAAATTAATACTGCTAGCGTCAATTGGTTGAAAATCGCTTTCTATTTGATCTCAGCTTCTTTAATTAATTTCGTATCGTTTGCGGCGTTTATTCTACTTTTGATTCCATTTGAACATTTGTTCATCAAATAATTTTATATAAAATTATCCTTTTTTTTGGTAAATGTATATATGTATATATAATTATTGATTCATTCATTAATCAGTTGCGACTAGTGGTGACTATTGGTCAACAAAATGGTAAAGAAGAGTCCGTGTAAAACACTAGAGAGAAGAGAGCATTGCCCCCCATCTCTCGATAAATTATTTATTTATTCATCGTTCAAATATTTATCGTTCAGTAATTATATTCTTAATACTACTATCGTTATCATATGATTGATTATTTCGTTCAATAAATTTTATTTCCATTAAAATTTTTTTCATCAAATGAAGGATTTTCTCGTTACGGACTTCATTTTATGCAAAGTATAACAAAAGAACAGTCGATCGACCAATAATTGGATATTAAATATTTTGAAATTCGATAAAAATATTTTATGAAATTTGCAGGATATTTTATTGATGAATGATCGACAATACCGGGTTGAAGCAAGCTGTAAGGAAAGTTAGAAATTCAGACGGCTGATTTGGGAGTGAACTGATTTTTTTTCGCGAGAATTATGTTTTGCAACAGTTTTATTTGTTGTTATTTGATTATTTTACAAGTAAATTGTTTTCTTGTGCATGGCGGTCTTTTAAAATTTTTTTTAACATTTTTTTCAACATGATTGAAAATTTTTTGATTTAAGATTTTTATAGGATTATTTGGATAAATTTTTGAAAAATGAATTTTTAACGTCTAAATTGAATTTAAATTTTGGATTCTTGGAAGAGGATTTATGTGTTCACTATTTGCATTTTTTTTCAGGTTATTTTAATATTAGCAGTTGATGATGGATCCCTTAGGAGACCAAACATTAACAATCATAATCATGCTGAAAAAAAAGATGATGTAAATTCTTTCTTTTGAATTAATGCTTCGAAAAATATAGATCTGTTGTGGCATGTAAAAGTTCTGAATGAGTTTTGCTTTTAATATTATTTTAAAATCGAGTTGATGCAAAGAAAAGATTGACGAAAAGAGGATTAGCAAAACCAAAGAAGATTGCTTTCATTTGGGCTTTTTAATGGGAATTTAATTGTGATGGCGCTTAGGGGACGTTATTTTGTTTATGAGGAAATGGCAAATTAAAATAATTATTTATCATAAAAAGAAATTGTAATTATAGCTGTAGTAGATCTCAGCTGGCATTTCTTTATAAGCTGTTTAAGAAAATTCGCTAATCAATTAAGACAAAAATTATAATGCCCTTTCCTCTAGAAGGAAGGAAGAAAATTGTTTTGCCATTTTTGATTATTAATCTCTCAAAAAAGTTGAATGTGCATATATTTTTATGTGCAGTCGTTGTTTTGGGATTTGTTGAATTTAAAAGTAATTTTTGCGTTAAAGGTCTGATATTTTGAGGTCGTTTATTATGTTATTGTGTTATCGAAAATTTTGATAATTTTATATAAATGATGCATTCAATTATAGATCATAGAAGGAAGTGGAGTAATGCCTAACGCTAAAAAAAGTGGGGCGGTAGGCGATGTTGAATGGGAATCGTCAGGTATTGGACCAGATGATGAGGATGGTGATGTACTTGAAGGCTCCGGTTCTCCAGAAGGTTTTTTATATTTTAATTGTTTTATCATCTTTCTTGCCTTCCGTTATAGAAATAATTGCATAAGGTTGAATAAGATGTTTTATTTTTTTTATTTTTTTATTTTTATGGTAGTCAGTTCATTCTCTTAAATCAGAGAGAAAAAAAAAACGAGTCCGAGGATAGGACTTTGCAGGTCCCACTTTGATTTTTCAGTGGAACAAACAAATTTGACTTGACTTGTCAAATTGACTTGTTAAACTTATCAAAATCTCATTAATTGTCAGTTCATGATTTAGGTTTTGTGCCAGTTATTAAAGTATCGCCACCACATCATCCTGAAGTAAAGGTCGCCATAACATCTCCGCCATCGGTAATTAATAACAATGTTTTTTTTATGTTTATTATGACCATCAAGCATTCAGTCTTAATTATATTATAGATTATCTACCTTTTTATTCGCTTCTAGAGCTACATTAGGATAGAATGTTTAGATAATTGGCTGGATTGGGAGTATTATTTAGTTCTAATCGTTTTTCTGAAGGAAAAAATCCCTATTATTTGAACAGCCGAATAAAAAACCTGAAGGAATATCTCAATGAATTTCCATGTAAATTTTCTAATTTGGAATTGTAGGTTCATTTCAGTTTTATAAACATTACAATTAAATAGGAGGCGGGTATGTGGAATTGAAGTTGTTGAATAGTGATATTACTTAATTAAAAAGAATAACTGATGGGTCTCATAAATAAGCACTTTGAATTATTAGATGCTATACAGAAATTAATGATGGAAGAGTAACATGTTCATATCAAAATTTAATTGATAGTATTATTGGCGTAGCAAGGATAATAATCAATTGTACTATGAAAGAGATATTCATATGGGTAAGAATCGATTTTATGCATATATGCATATAACCTTATTCATTCCGAATGGGAACGGCATTCTTGGAAAATGTCTTGAATAATTGATAATAATGTTAAAAGAGAATTACAGAACTGATCAGTTGAAAAATTAGCCATTAAAAAATTGAAAGGTCAAAAAATTGTTATTCGATGTATTTTTTATAGTTAGAGTGATTGGCGGAAAAATTGTTTGCAACTTAAATAATAATAATAATTTGGCTCATAAAAGAGCAAATAATGAAATAAAAATATGATAAATTTTAAGAATTTAATTTTAAAAATTTGTTCATAAATTATAGTGCAATTTTTTTTTAGGTTCATGTAGATATTCACGAAGAACGTAGGCCAAATGAATTCGATATTGCGATCGAAGAAATAACAACGACGTTAAAAACATTGCCGACAAGGAGGCCTGTGGATATGACTACTGTGCGATCATTAGTTCCAGCGATTTTCGAAAATGATGGAATTGTTTCAGTGCATGTTCTACTTAAACCTGGTATACTGGCTGGTTAGTATATCAATTCCATGTCATAGTAAATCATTTTTAAATATTTAATAGCGTGAATATTTAAAGAATAGAAAGAGCGTAAAACAAAGAAAAGAAATAAAATAGTGATGGGCTATGGAAAAATTTGATTTTTTTCTGAAGTCCTCGGATCTCTGGAAAATAAAAAATAGTTATGAAGAAGTTATGCAAATTACTAGTAGGATTAATTTGAAGATTTATTCAGTTTCCGCTTTTTCTTCCATCACTATTTTGAAGCTATATATTTCACCTCACCATACAGATGATCAAAAATGGATTTAGTATTGTAAGTTTTAAATATCCAAAAGGGTAAAGTTGAGAAGTTCAGATTAGGTTTCACATTAGGTTTTGCTAGTAAGGACTCTTATAGTGATGTGATGTAGTTCTTATTCGTTAAGTAACTATCTGCCATTAGAAGAAATAACTATTATCGATCGTTTTCTCTCTTTTCATTCATTATTAAACAAACAATTTGGCGTTTTAAGGTTTTTTTCGGTCATAAAATTATCTTATATGGAATAAATTTGTGAAAATTTTATGTTGTGAATGGTAAGATAATTTTTTTGATAGACTTTCGTGGATATTGTTTTGTTGAAGTTGTTGAAGTTGAGATTTTTGTTGAAGTTTTTTTTGTGATTCTGACGACGGCATCCGTTTCATTGGCTTGTCTGAGTTTTATCGCTCTTGTTCTGCTCATTTATTTAATGTTGCATACCTTGATTATTATCAAAACTTGTTACCAATTTCATGTCATTTTTTGGGAAATATTACTCAAATGGAGGATAGAAAAAGTAACAAAATCGATCAATTTTTATTCAGTATTCAGTTAATAAATTTTTGTAATTCAGTTGAGTTATTCAGAATTGAACCAACTATATTATGAACATGGTTTTTTTAGTTGTCAGTACAGCCTTTTTCTTCCGATTATTTAAGGTTTTTATAAATCATTTGAGACTAATTTTTGTATATGTTCAGATTGGAATTTGCTGATTACTGATCTGCTAATGAATATTGCTTATTATCTTGATCTTAAGTATTGAATATTCTGAGTTTTTCACTTTTATTCGGTAGTAAGGGAAGAGTCATTATCAAAGAGTCATTATCACTTTTGAGCATTCAGTGAATAATCAGTTAATAATACATTTATTTTGATTCTAATGACCTTTTCTTTCCTGCAGCTGATAGCTGATCGTATTGCAAATATTTATTTTGGTCAGTCATTCGCATCAAAATAGTTGTTTTGATTGTTGAAATTCGAATAAAAGTAATAATAATATGGGAAAAGAAATGGAAGCGGATTACTGGTTGATTATTATTGGCTAATGAAGACCACGGTCACCACAAATAATATTATCGGTGAATAGAAAGATAAAAGTTGCTTAAATGGGTAGGTAATTCATATCGAAAATAATAAGGGTCATGAAAAAGAAAGAAATATTAGAAATAACGTTTTTTTGAATCTTGAATTTGAGTATTTTGATTAGAAATTCAGATTTGCGGAATAAATTAATTATAGAAAGCTATATGTCGACTGTCTCTTTCTGATTTTATTTTCTGATTTCTGATTAAATGGTTGCTTTTTTTGAAGAAAGGAATGTTATTGCAGTCATGCATTCAATGAAGGTATATTAAGGAATAATTGACTAGCTAGCTTTGTGGGTCCTGGCAATGTTAGAACCATATAAATTCTTAAATATTTAAATAATAACGGAAACAAATTGAGATTTTAAATGCTAGAGAAAAAATTATCTAAACAGAAAAAATATGAAAATAAATTAGTTGAGCAAAAGTAAGGTTTAACCAACTAAGAATAGTGATTTAATCCTTTTGAATAAATAATATTTGCAGCTATAATTGGTGGTTTTGTGGTAGGAGTTCTTGCTGTCATTCTGCTCGTTATGTTTATTGTATATCGAATGCGGAAAAAAGATGAAGGAAGTTATGCACTGGATGAACCCAAACAGCCTCCCCATTACTCATATGCTTATCAGAAAGCTCCAACAAAAGAATTCTATGCTTGAAGAGAAATTTTTTTTAGTATTTTTTTTATATATTCTCAAATTCCGATCTTATTCTGGCTCGCTTACTTTGTTTGATACAGTTTTAATTCGAACACTATTTGCCAAATTTGCCAGTCTATGGTGGTGCTTGTAATCAGTTCCGGATGGACTTTTTTATTCTTTGATTTCATTTGTTTTAATAATAATAATGATCAATATTGATGCGAGAAAAATATTAGAATTTTTATTTTAGTTTATTTTATTCTTTTTTTTTCTGATTGATATCGTTGGTAAATTGAGGAAATTGAAAAAGAAAATAATCATGTATTATTCCAAAATTATTATGGTAAGATGATATATGCATATGTAGGCGTTTTATTTATTAATATTCGATTGCAAAATAAGAGGTTTTCTTTATTTTTGTTCACAGTGATTTAATTTTTCTCGTCTCTTACTTTATTTTTTATATTATCGAATGTGGTACTAATTAAGTTGGTCTGATTTTTAATTTCTAGTGAATTAGCAATATTTTTTAAAAATTTTCATTTAAAAATAATGAAATTAAATTATAATTATAATTAAATTATAATTAAATTAAAAGAAATTATAATCAGTTCGGCTTTTTCATCTCTCATTTGTCATCCTGCCATTCTTTTTTTGTAATTTTTAGTTTATATATTTTCTTACTTAAAGTGTTTTTAAACAAAATATGTATAAAGAAATATTTATGTTGACAGTTTGATTGTAATTTTGTTGAAAAATTGTTCTTTTCCATACTTCAGCAGATTAACTTCTTATCGAATATTTAAAAGGAATGAATTTTTGTCGATATTGTATTTCGCTTGGAAAATGAGATTTTTGTTAATTACTTAATTCTTATTGAATTGCACATTGCTAGTTGTAATTTATCTCGCTTCATTACTTTTCTTTCATTTATCTTTAAGTAATGCTAATAATAATTAAGAATTTACATAACATTAATTAATCTAATTAAAATTGGCGATTTTTCTCGATCAGAATTCCGAGTGAGGCTGAATGCCCCTCGTTTGCTAAATGAAGTTGTACTTGGTTTGTTATTTATAGTGCCTCGGCAGAATATATCAATAAGAATTAATTTTGTTCCTTTTAATCTTTTAGTGATTGTAAATCGAATAAATCCATTTTGCTGTTTCTTTCTGCTTTTATGCAACGATTATTATTTGAATAAAGGTTGTTTTATCAGTAGTTTTATCCCTTTTTTGCTTATTTATATGAAGCAAAATGTTAAACAATTTTTTAAAATTCTTTTTTGAAGAATTATGTTTAAAAAAATATTAGATTACAAAAGATAAAGAAGATATGTGAATAAGTACGAGTTGTTGAATGAATAAATGCGAGTTGTATTGGACTGGTGGGGTCCGCACGCTATCGTTGGGCCATATCGGCATCTATTCCCGAGAGCTTCAACTTAGCCAGCAATCAAATATGAAAGCGCTTCGTACGACTGTTCCTTTCTGAGTAGTTCAGACCTCGCTTAAAGTTAATGATAAAGATCCGATAGGTGAAAATATGGGGGTTTGGTGAAGGGAAGATGGTTTAAGACTGTTTGCGACTGTTCGAGGCGAGGTGCTAAGGATGACGCCAAATTGTGGTAGATGTGGTTAGAATTGCATGTATTGTTGTGATGCAAGTTGTTGACCGTAGTGTGTGGTATGATTATTGATTGAGGTGGTACGTGGTACACTGAAAAGAAATGAAACGTGGTAAAGAGGGAGAAGAGAGAGCTGAGAGACTGGATTGTTATGGTACAATGAACGATTTGCCATTGGCGATTGGCGATTAGTGCAATATAAGCGAGGATTAGTCAAGGCTTATGAAACCAAGATTTTATAGGTGTTAAAATTTTAAATTTGTGTTGAAAAATAAAAATATTTTAGAAATTTATGACCTAATTTCGTTGTCACATTTGACGCTATTGGACCTTTCGGCTAGTAACTGGTGAAACCTCTGTCGTCAATGGTTATTGCTGTAGAAAGCATCTTTAAGCAGTTGTAGATAAGGTGAAATCATATGATTTTTGGCAGGGTTAGCTTACTTTTAATTCAGTTTGTATAGGCTATAAAGTGGTGTTAACTGAGAATGGCGTCAGGTTAGGAAGGAAGAGTGATACTAAGAAGCTGTGTAATATCGAGAAATAGAGCTGGTTTATTTGTTTAACTGAAATGTTTCAGATTTATCTCCTCAGCTTATCGGTAAAATAAACGATTGGGATCGATGAAAACCGTCGAGTTGAGAAATTTCTCTGCTCGAGCCAACTTTTCTGCTAACACCTACTTATTCCATCTCTTTGTCGAATAAGTTTTGTGTAAATTCTCCCACTCCTTTTTGTCTTCTCATCGTATTCATTTAAAATTTTTCGTTTATATATTTTTCAGATTTTTCCAAAAATCCTTATTTTCCATGTTCTTTTGTTTTTGCTTGTAATTTTTGTCCATAGCTTTGCCAGTCTTGACTTTGTGACCTTTGACATTTGGCCGATAGAGTTGGTTTTGGTTGCTCAGAATATTATGTTCTTAGTAAAAAGATGCAGCGAAACGAATAGCTCTTCAGATTATTGTATCAATAAGTGTTCACATCCTGCTGAAGGTGAACCTGTCATTAAAAAATCCGAGTGACGTGGCGACCAATCTACACTTCCGCTTCTTGTAGGAGTCAAGTGATTTCTTGGAAAAAATTTCTAAAATTTCTATAGTAATCGCTAGCTGAGTTAGCGTGACTTGAAAGAAAAAAAATATAAATAATGGAAGAAGGCGATTAACTGTCAGCAGGAGTTTTTAAATGATAAGTGCACGAAATGAAAAATTTTCACTAATTCACTAAATTACTAAATTATTGACACATTATCATTGAGTTGGCAGAATCGAATCTGTGGTGAGAATCTGCAAATTTAATAGGGATAGGGATTCTTGCGATAATCGGTCGTTTCATTTATAAGAGCAGTCTTATATTACCTGAAATATTTAGAATTTAAATAAAGTCATTACTTCAGAGAAAAATGACAATCGATGAGCAGAAAGTAACAGCCGAGGAACTAAAAAATCGTGGTAACGAAGCATATAAAGGAGAAAATTTTCGAGAAGCTTTTGATTTCTATACGAGAGCGATTGAATTAAAACCCGAATCCGGAATTGAAGCGATGATATATCGCAATCGAGCAATGGTCAGACTAAAAATTCGGGACTACGAAGGATGTGAAGCTGATGCTACGCATGGTTTATTTTTGTTTGTTCTATATGATTAGCTTCCAGCCTATGTTGAAAAATTTACATCACATCCATTAATATAAATTCGCCTTCCTGTTCACTTCTTGAATTAGGGCTGAATGGTCGAGCAGCACTTCGATCCCTGCCTTGGGAATAACTGTCATTAAAAAGTGGAGTTCGGGTGGCGCTACTGATCCGCCCATATTTCTTCGAAAGGGTCACATTATAAAACATTAGTGGAGCTGACCAAATTGGGAATTGTGAATTGTATCGGAAAGCGATTGCAACATTTCTTTTGAATTTCTATCACGTTAAATTAAGTTAAATGGACTAAACTGACCAAATGTATAAGGGAAAATCGAAAAAAATTTTGCTGAACTCTACTGAATTAGTATTTAGTGGATTTTATCACATTTTGAAGTGTAATGGTCAAGGCACCAATTCGTCAAGTTTCTTAACATATCTTTGCCTGATTTTCCTGGCCAATTATTTCATGTTTTATTGTAATTTCATTTAAAAGCAGCTTTGAAATGGAGTAAAACTGATTCAAAAATCATGACCGTATTGAAATTTTCTTTACTTCTTTCTTTCTGTTAACCATAAGAATTAAAAATATAACGTAGAAAAAGAAAAATTTTTGAAGCACTGGGCTTTAATGGAGCAGACACGAAAGCGCTTTTTCGTCGTGCATTAGCTCGCGAACAGTTGGGACTATACAGTGCAGCAGTCGTCGACACTAAGGAGGCTCTGAGATACGATTCAAAAAATAGGTTTGCAGTATTTTGGATCATTTTGACCGCAATGACCAATTCATTGTTATCGTATTTTGATTTTGATAATTAATTTATTATTATCGCATAAAATTTTAGAGGTCTCATTGATCTTTTGCACCGTTTAATGAAAATAATTGCACAAAAAGAAAAAGAAGCAAATAGTATGGAAAATCGAGTTAATCAAATGACTAATATCGCTTTTAATAACGATGAACTCGAACAAAGGATTTCGGTATTTTTGCTTGTTCATTTATCCTTTTTTATTTATAAATTTAAGCTTTGCAAAATTTATTTTTTTTGAATTTTAAAAATTTCATGTAGATTTTAATCAGTATTTGTAGGCAATGAATAATTTGCTGGTCCTTGCAAGAGATTCTGAACTTGGAGCTTCGCGAGTTTGGAATGATGGACGGATTATGTACACGGTTTTAACTCTTATTAATGATCCTCAAGCAAATGATGAGCTTATAATTACAGCTATAAGAATATTGGATGAATTAACTAAAAGCAGTCGACGGGTTTATTTTGTTTTTTATCAGCCTTTTATCTGATAAAAAAACTTTTTATTAATCTGTCGGTAAGGTGATTGTCATAATCGATTCTATGATGATAAGATAAGATGATAAGATGTTTTCGTTAAATCGCTGGAATAAAGATTTGTTTAGTTTATAAACATTATTTGAAGCTGGTGAAATAAACGTTTAAGAACTTGATTAAACAGAAACGAATACTTGGCATTTCCTTTTAATGTGTAGTCTAGAATTCCTCAATTGATGGATCTTATTTAGACTGTGCAAATGGTGGATAAACTTGGTATTCCGAGACTTGTGCGACTTATTGAACAACACTCCAGTTCCAAATATTTGTATGCCTGTGGCGTACTTTTACAGCATGTATTCAATGCATTAGCAGCAATGGATCGCCAAAAAGAAATCAAACCAGATCTGGAAATCTCTGAAAGTCTACCTATTATTTTTCTTGGATATCATTTCCTTTTTTAAGAATATCTTTAAAAATCAATTCTATTCTATAGAAGAATTCCGTAAGAATTTAAATTTTTTCGGGATTCAAATTTTATTTTTCTCAAGATAAAAAACGGGATATTTATCTCCTGGGAATTAATTTAAGCTTATGGCAGTTTTCCTCTTCCAAAATGAATGAATTTTTTTTTAAGTTGATTCTTTAATATTTATAGTTCATTATATTGTTGAATACGATGTTAAAATTGGTATCCCGTTTCTGGTAATTTTTTTTAATAATGGTTTATTGTTCTTTTAGCCAACAAAGTGCTTATAATCCGTTTGATTTTGGAATTAGAGGAAATGCTTACTGACCCAAAAGTTGGAAGTTCAATTAGAGAGACAGTTATCGATCTTTTCTCGAAGAATTTAATGCATATGGATGGTGGTTTACCGAGAGGATGGAGCTGGCGATTTGTGGAGGATAGAGGTAGTTTTCGTTCAGTATTCAGTGTTTTTAAATGGCAATGACTAATTTCTTTGGCATACTTTGTTCAACGTAAAACAGATATAATGTTCTTGAAGTCACTTGAAGTTTAATCAGTTTAATTTCGAAAAGCATTTTATTTTAATAAATTAACATGAATAAAACAAAACTAAAACAAAACTTTTTGTATTTCACGAGAACTGATAGTTTTGGCCCTCAAAAACCCAGGTCTTTTGAAATTACTACATGTGTCGACACAAATTCCTGAACAGTGTGAATATCCTGTTTCGGTAGAAACACGACAACATCTCGCCATTTGTTTAGCTCGTCTTTACGATGATATGGTGTTCGATACGAAACGAGCAGTATTCAAGGATCGTCTCGATGCTTTTTTTAAGTTTGTTTTTAAATCATTCTTTATTTTATTTTCTTCTTTTAGATTATAAAGGTATAGAAGAATATAATATTATGCTATATTTTAACGACTAGTGGATTAGTTTATGCAAAGCTGTATCAAAGATTTTTCAAAAAAGAATAGAATTTGGTTGCCAATGGAAATTTATTTAAAAGTTATGTTTATTTTCATAAAGATTAGATTTGGAAATTTTGTTTTATTCTTGCGCTTTTATGCCATTTGTTTTTTATTTTTCTCTTTTGTAGCAATTTAATGGAATATGTCAGTAACCCATCTTCAAAACTAAAATTGGCAGCAATGTTGATCACTTTACTTCAGGTAATATTTAAATATGAGGAGTATTCATTCAAAATTTCACAATACCTTTTTAAATGCCAGCTTTGTAATTGCTAGCGGTCAAAGATACTTTTTGTTTTCCAATTTTTTGAGAGAAGTCCTTGATTTTGCAGAAATTGAACTTTTATCTCTGTGTTCAAGGGGCCGGTCGATTTGGGCATAAATTTCGTTACAAATGATCAAATTATTGCTATGATGCTTGAAATGGCTTCAAATGATGATCATTTACATCAAAGTATTGCTGCTGAGCTTATAGTACAAACCGTCAGCAAGCGTGAAAGAGCAACTAAAATTTTAAAAGTAAAAGTATTAAAAGATTTTTTGAGTATTTTTTGAGTGAAAGGTCACTCAGCAGATCAAATAGAATTTCGTCACGTAAGATGATTTATTGTGGAATGAGTCAAGTTAAGAAAAGAAAATAGGTAAAAAACAAAAAACCCAACTCTGAAATATTGAAATATTGAAATTACACTTTTTTTATTGCGGCATGTGTCATTTCAAAATTTCAAAATTTTGCGAGATTCCTCGATATTAATAGGTAATGTCAGAAATAATATCTCATATTGATTGATTTCTCGCAAATCTGTGAAAAGTTGTGGTCCAGATTTATGGAGAATTGAATTTTGCACATTATTTCATCGTTGAAGATTGGTGTTCCTGTTTTAAAGAAGTTGTATAACTCAAAAGATGACGATGTGAAAGTGCGTGCTCTAATGGGTCTGTGTAAATGTGCATCTGCTGGAGGCGACGATTCAAGTAGACAAACAATGCAAGAAGGGAGCACTTTAAAACTCGCTCAAACTTGTAAGAAATTCCTTCTCGATATTAATCGGTATTCTGTCGATGTTCGAAGGTAATACTTTTTAATGTTTTTATGTTTTATATCAATCAATTTATGTGGTAGGAATGACGAAACGACCAAATTATTTCTGATTTTTATATTTTTCATTTAAGAAATCTTTATAGCTTATGTTTTTGATTTCATTTTGATAAAGTCAAATTTTGATAAAAAGTTTGATAAAATTTTCAATAGACGGATATTTTACAAGAAATTTCGAGTAAAAACAAAAGACAAAGCAATGAAATTAATATCAGTCTAGATTTGCATGTGAAGGGTTATCGTATTTATCGTTGGATGCAGACGTTAAAGAATGGATTGTCGAAGATCCATTACTTCTCCAAGCTCTTTTGTCTCTAGCAAAAGTTTGTTTTTTTTCGTTTTTTCATTCTTTACGATCATTTGTTTAACGATATTCGTAAAATGGTTTATTCATGCTATCTCTTGTTAGTTTCGGAATTTTTAATTAAACCTGATCTTCTTTCAAATGCGATATGTTGAACTGAAAGATGCCTTTTTCAATAATTCATAAGATAGGAGTCGGTTATTTATATCAAAAAGAGATATCAGTCTAGATTCGAAGGGTTATCGTTCATTATGTCATATTTTAATGTCATTTTTTTATTTGCATTTATTTCATAATTAACAATAATAGTAGATTTTGTTAGAGTGCTGGTGCTCTTTGTGTTTATGCATTGGCGAGTATATATGTGAATCTTACTAATTCATATGAAAAGCCAAAAATTGAAGAGGAACTTGTCAAACTTGCACAGGTTAATTAATTTATTAATTAATTTACAACGTATTTTATTTTCCCAAATGCTGTAATAAAATGTTACATTAAAGTTCTTTTTGTTCTGTATGAAATTTTTTTTCTTAAAATTCATTTTATTATATGTAGTTTGCAAAGCATCATGTGCCGGAGACTCATCCGAAAGATACCGATGATTGTATCGAGCGTCGTGTCCATCTTCTAGTTGCTGATGGGGCAACATCGGCTTGCGTTGCTATATCAAAAACTGAAAGTAGAAATGCCCTGGAATTATTAGCGCGTGCAATGCTTGCTTTTACCGAATATCCTGATCTAAGGGGTCAGATACTTAGTGAAGGTGGCGCTAAGGTAATTTTTTTGGCAATTCTTTCGCATTTGAAAATACTTTCATCACTTTATTTATTCTGTAAAAAGGCAAACATTTAGTTATTTTTGTTGTTATCAATGGAAAGTATCTGAAAAAATATTTAGAGAATATTTAATAAATTATAATATTTTGGTTTAATTTATTTTACAGCTGCTTCTTCATTTAACTAAAGAATCTACTCCAGAAGGTAAAATTAAAGCGGCACACGCAATTGCTAGACTTGGCATTGAGGTCGTCATTTTTCTTGAGATTTTTTTCAAATTTTTATTGTTATTAGTTTTTATTATTTATTGTGGAAGAGTTCTGTTTTCTTTCTTGTGAAATTTCATGTTTTTCTTGATTTGCTTTCATAGTGATTAATTTAATCAATTTATAATTCTCATGAATTCTATATAAACAAATTAATAATGTATTTTTTAGGCTAACCCTTCTCTTGCTTTTCCGGGACAAAGGATTTATGAAGTTGTTCGACCCTTAGCAGAACTTTTACATCCCGATATTGAGGGTCGCCCTAATTATGATGCATTATTAACATTAACCAATTTGGTAATAATTATTTTTAAATATTCGTTTCAGTTCTAGACTGCATTAAAAGGCTGAGGCAAAAATCTCAATTTTAATGGTTTTCGGCTGGTTTGACCTAATCAAAAATAATTTTTAGCTTTTATAATTTATTAAAATTTTTATTAATAGTCAGCCTTGATATATCCTTGATCTATTTTTCGGCAAATTTCGTGAATTTTCATTATTGATTAATTTGAATTTCAAATAATGAAATTGATATATTTATAAATGATAAATTGATATATTTGTAATTTAATAATAAGCCATGGAATAGTTTTTAATTTTTCATAGATAATTATCTGCAGGCAAGCGTAAATGAGTCAGTACGTCAGCGAATTTTAAAAGAGAAAGTCGTGCCGAGAGCAGAAGAATATTGGTATATGACTGATCATCCACATTTACGTGCTGCAGCAGCAGAATTACTTTTGAATTTGTTGTTTTGTGAGGAATTTTTCAACTCCACGATTGAGGTGATTTTTACTGATCTAAATTTTTCCCGGAATATTCATTTACCTTTTACATGGATTGTTGGGATCCTTGTCCACACATGAATAATGGCACATATAAGTGAGCTAGTATCTAGGAAAATGTTCTCTTTTAAATTTTTTTAATCAAGTCGAGCTGTTTGAGAAAAATGTTTGGTTCAGCCCGTAATTTGCAAGGCATGTTGTGAGATTGTGAGATGAGATGAGGTGTATTTTCTCCAATTTCCACCCATTAGTGAAAATATTTAAATTTTCATCAATCAATCATTATTGAAATTTGCATGCCATCGGTACTTTTATTATTAAATAAAAGACTGATAACTGATGGCTTAATCTTGAGCAATCGAATTTTTTGATTGTTTGATTTAATTTAAAATTTTCCAGCCATCAACTGATAAATTAAAATTATGGGTATTATATAGCGCAGAAGATGATGAACGATTAGCACTTGCTTCAGCAGCTGGTTTTGCATTATTAACTGAAAGTGAGAAAGCATGTAAACGAATTATCAGCGAATTGAAAAGTTGGCCTAGTGTTCTAAAAGATATTTGTATGGCTGAACATCCTGAAATACAGCGTCGAGGAATGATTGCTGTAGCTAATATGATTGAAAGCTCGAAAGAAGTTGCAAGTGAAGTTGTTGCTGTAAGTTTGAAAAAATTTTTGCAAGGTTTATTAAAACGAAGCATGATTCTTGAAAAATTGAAGATTGATTCTTCGGAAAAATATAAGGGAAAATCCAACTGTAAGAATGAATTTGATATAAAGTTTTGGAACTAAGTTATAAGTTAACAAGTTTAAATTAAATTATCACCAAAACACTGTGGTATGACCAATAATACCTTCACAAATAAGCCCCATGTTTATCGATGGATGAAGATTCATTTTTTTAGGCTTTTTAGGATTTGCTTTTCTCATATTTCTAATAAATTATATATAATTGCAGACAGAACTTTTCCATGTTTTGGTTGCAATCACGAAATTGAAGAATAAAGAACGTTTCAACGCTCAAAAAGAAGCGCAACGTGCATTGGATGCAGCAATAAAATGGGACATAATACGACCCACCGATCGCGAACTTTATGAAAAGAAGACTGGTCTGTCAACACTTCCTGAAGATTAATCGTTTTCAATAACAATTTTTGTCCTGTAATTTTCTATTTGCTAGCCTTATTGAGATACTCTTTGGAGGAATTGCACAAGCTAAACTTTTCCTTAAACTTTGTCTTATTTTTTCAGAATATTAATAAAACAAAACAATATATTAGCGGTTAATAAATTTGCTAATGTTTTAATTCACGGAACTATATATGGCATTCGCTAAAATATATTGTCTTTGTCGTTTATTATGAGCTGTCGTTGAACTGTTGAAATTTTTAAAAAATAAATTAACTTTTCTGTATATGATGACGGTTAAAACGAGATAAAATTCCATATGTTCCATAAATTAATGAATTTTTTAATGATTAAAACGGATAAATCGATCAACTGGTTTTTTTAGTTGCGCAATTATTAATAGATTTTTATTGGCTTGATGTCCCAATTTGTTCTTAGATAGACAGATCATTGTAAATAGTTCACTTATTGATGAAGTAAATCACTCCAGGAAAACTTAAAATTTGGTTACTGCTGGTGATATCCAGACATTGCATGTGAGTCCTTGCAAATATAACACAATATGTGCAAAAAATTCATATGCAAGTGACCTTTATTTCCACGTTTCCACATTTTCGTATCTGTCAAAAATTCAGAACCTTATGTATACCAAATGTGATAAAAAGATTGTTACCTAAATGTTCTTCGGAAAAGTTTTAAATTGAGAAACAAATCAAAAATGGAATTTAAAAAGACGAAAATAATTCGTTCAAAATGAAATTTGAAATTAGAATTTGATAGGTTTTGTTCAAAATTAATAAAACTTTAATAATTTTGGTTTTCCCTAATTTGAATTCGATTCCATCTAAATTTTCGAAGTTTTTAATTTAAATTTAATTTTTTAAGATTTCGATTTGCAGAAAATTGGTCAAATTTGATTTTTTTTCCAATAAATGTTTGATGAATTAGATAAAATCGCAAAGTGCAAAAATAAAATAAAATTCGTTACGTAATAACATTTACGTTAATAGCAGTAAAACAAATAATAATTGATTTACTAAGAAATTAAACATTTTAAGAATCTCTAAGCCTTAGGAGGCATTTTATTGAAGAGTTACCTAAAATAGACCATAACCAAGTGGTTACTATTTATTCTCTGTCTCTGGTTGGATCAACGGCATGAGAATTTTTTAAATTACTTAAATAGTTAGTAAAAGGCGTTAGAAGTATAGTTCTCATTATCACCCTTATACAATATAAATTTGTGGAAATCGTATCTTTCTGACCCAAAAGCTCAACCATCTAGAAATACGAAAAATACCATGGTAAAAGGAGTCCAATTTGTCTTGTTTCTTCCTGTATTCCACGTTTAGGTGAATGTGCAATTACGGTACGCTGCAACCAAAAGTGATTATTTTCGTGATCATTGTATTTCTTGGATACGATTATAAAACCACTAATCTTTATCAATACTAATTAAACACAAAATTTTGGCGGATAAATCGAAAGATCTGTCATTCACAAATATCCGTTAGAAATAGCACACAGTGGTTCCAATTCTGGATTTTTTTTCGCGTCCTATTTTTCAGCATATATAAAAGAATTTGATGGAAAAGATATTTAAATCATGTCAAAATCTTTTTCTCACTTTTTTTCATCCTTCCAATTTGAGCTGGAAGAAGTGTCCTAAAATTCGGTTGTAAATCCAGCAATCTGAAAGTATTTGGAATTCAGAGGACTTTCTTATACAGCAATTTTTTTCCTGATAATAGGATGGTTATAGGAATAGAAATATAGGTGTAATTCCAATAGAATTTTTTTTTTCTAACAGTTCTCATTATCTCCGATTTGATTAACCCTTTTGGTTGCTAAGAAGTGAGAAACGACTTCTTCGACAGAGATTCACTGAGGATGGACAAGCTAATTAAAGATGGATTTTACTTTTACGACGGCAGTTTCATTCTCAAAGAGAGACAGAAATTGGGCCTGTGAGTTTATTCGATAGAGCACATCTCTTAACTTTCCTAAAATTTTACGGAAATTCAAAATATTTTAATAATAGCATTTTTTCTAAAAAATTAAGGTTGAAAATAATTCATCGATCGAATAAACCATATCAAAATATATAATATTGAAAAGGCTGAACTGAATTTGACCAAAATAAAAGGTTACTTTTATGCTGGGCGATTAGTTTTAAATACTAATTTGCTTAATAACTTCTGGTTAAAAATAGTTTTACAGTTAAAAACGGTTTAAGCTAATTAACCCTATACGACATGCGCTGATGTAGGAATTATGACTCTTGACCTCCTTGAACTGTAAAACTGGCAAAGTCTACTTTCGAAAATCTCATAATATCTACGAAATTTTAATTGTGTTTTTGTACAAGGAGATGTACTTGTTTGCACTGCAATCAGCGCTTATTTCATTTCTCATAGCGACATCAGATGCATGTAAAATTCAATTTCGGATGACATCGAAAGCAGATTCACCTTTTAAAGTGCAATTTATAGTGCCATCCATTTCTTATTCAAGTCCAGAACTTGAATTCTTAACCAAGGATCAAAGTATTATTCATGATGTAAGCTATTTATCTTTTTTTTTGGAAAAATTTTTTCATTTAAGATAATTCATGCAACAGTTGGAACAGAATTTTAGCCAAAAAAATTTTTGAAAAACTAAAAAAGAATTTCTTCTTTGTTTTATCTACTATTTTAATCTTATCGCTAATACGCTAATTCTTGTAGATTCAAGGAGAACAATGCGATGCAAAAAAGTGGCATATAATTATATGGAAACAAGAGGATGATGATTTCATTCCCGTGCATGATTATCAAACGAAATTTGAAGGAATTGGTCATGTATCTTTCGAAGTTGACAATACATACACACCAGACTTTACAGATCGGTTTGGCGTGTTTCAGAGCAATTTGTAACGAAAAAAAATATCAGAAAACAGATAATAGTTAAAAAATCGATTTTTTGTAATTCATTTGTTTTAGAATTAAAATTTTTTAATTTAAAATTTAAACCGAAACAAATATTGAATAAATTTAACTGTACAATTTAGTTCGTTTAAGTTATTTTGTAGTGAACGAAGGATAGTAATCGAACAATCGATGTTCTCTGGAATTCTTAAATTTTAAGAGTTAGGTTTGAAATAAGAAAGTTGGGCGCAAAAATAAAAATTATAAGTCTCGCAATTTTTTTCGGAAGGACTAAATTTTTTCTCAAAGTCCGTATAATGATTTAACCTTACACTATTCAAAAAATGCTATAAATTATTTGTAACGAATTTCTTTATTAAAACTTTATTTGGCATATATAAATAAAGAGCAGTACACCATCAGAACGGAAATAGATTTCACGCAAATAAATCCGGGCAATTACGCAAGTCTGAATCTTATGCGTAATCAGAACGCTTGAATTTCCGGTTGATTATATTTTTTTCAATAAGTTATTCCGTTCACAAGAATATATCCAGTGTTGATGAAATATATTGTCACTTCTGTTGACAAACCTTGCTTGCATTGTTATTATAAAGGCTTAACAATAATAACGTATGCAATGTGCATAAAATAAGGCTTAATTCTACTGTATTTTTAGCCCCATAAATTTTTTGGGGTAATTGTAATTGATTGTTTAGTTTAAAAACGACTTTCTAACGACTCTTGGTTGAAGCACTTTTTTTCCTTTGCTTAAAATAACTATTTTCTTTTTACTTGAATTTGATAATAAGAATGTCACCTGCACTTCAACATCCATGACTGACTTTGGTAATAGCCAGTAATAGTCAGAGGAATCAGCCAAAATCAGAAATTTTTGCAAGTGGAAAGTGGAGAAAATGATGACGAAATGCCACAGAATTTGCTTGGATGAAGCAATTTCATGTGTCAAAAGTCGTGAATACAAGATATTCATCTAAGATGCTGTGTTCTCTCGTTTGCTCCATCTGATTGTTCTAAGATTGATTGGCTTATACGAAGATAATCCTCTTTGCAGTTGACACCTATAAGATGTTCTTTACGAGGTAAATAAAATCTCTTCAGATGATTAACTGGTTGAACAACCATCAATCACTTATAGAAATTTGGCTTTCAACGATCAATAAATCTGAAAAAAAGCGATTTTTCTCAAAGGATTAAAAATTCGAAAAAATTGATAGTTTTTCAAAACAAAAGAATAATGACGTTGAGAATAACCAAATACGGTGTTAGCGGTAGAAAAAAAGGGAAAGGAAAAATTTACCCGCTTATTTTACTGTTCTCACAAAATATAATTCTATTTTAGCATAACTATTTTCTTATTCGTTCTCGTTGCTTATATTTTAAACTGATTTAAATATATTCAGTTAAAAGTCGCCTTTCTACGAATTTCTTAATTTGGCTAACCCATTGATAAATTCCTTTTTCAAAATTTTTCTTCTCATGCGATTCGTTTCTTTCCACTCAGCTTCCTTAGTTTTTTTAGTTTTCAATTTCAATTCTATTAAATAAGGCTTTGCCAACAAGATTTCAAAAATCATTTCAATTTAGCACCATATTTTAGCCTTATCCGTCCTTAAGAAATGGTTTTGTCAACAATTTTTTCTGTTCATAAATCCTTCGATTAATCAAACAGTTTGTAAAACGCAATATAAAAAAGTTCCCGAAAAAATCGGTTCCATTAAGCGCAGTCGGAAATATAGAATTAATGGCGTTATATAGTTCTCTATGATAGAATTTATGTCTATCATAGAATTTTATACAATTTATTAGCGTTGCAAAGAATTATGAATTATGAATGTACGGTAATATTCGTTATTATTATTCATCACCACCTGCAAACGCGCAGTTTCATAGAACTGAAATATGAAACTTCTGAAGGATAATCTCAAAATTACCAATCAAGCATAGCTGATTTACTTTCCTGGATTCCAAATTCATTGTTTTCCATTTCTTTCTTCAGTTTCATTAGTTTTGTGCTATAATGAATGAACCGGGATAACAATTATTGATAATAATAACTAGTTTGTTTGAAGACAATATTACATAATATTTAATTTATTAGTTTAAAAAATAACAATCGATAGTTTTTCAAGCTCAAAATCTAAAAGAAGCTACTTAGTAGCACTTTTTAGTGTCTAAAAGAAAGATTCTAAATTAAATTCACATTTCTCATTGCGAACTCCATCATATACGCCATTCTTTCGCTTTTTTGCGACATACTTACCTTAAATCACATGAAAAGCAAGAAGCAAAACAAATCATAAAATATTTTGAGAGCTTTTTAAATGAAAAATTCATTAGAACACCTTTTGTAATTCATTAGAAAAAGCTATCAAATATGTAAAGCATTTTTCGAAATATATAAATATTATTCGAAATATTCAGTAGAAGAAAGCGAGAAAAAAAATATTAAAAAGGTGACCAATTAAGTTGCAATCCTTAAATGTTCTCATTTTTCCGCAATCGATTCAATTAAAGATGATTTTAAAAACAATAAAATTATAATAATATATAAACAAACAAATTTTCCATTTTTTTTTCTTGAAATAGGAAAATCATATTAACGGTATTCCGATTAAAAATTTTCGACAATAGATAATGGAATCCCGCAGCCTTCTAGACTGGAAACGTAGTGATATGGTTTGATTCGTTCCAGCTGATAAATGATTCCATTCACTCAAATACACCTGGCTTGAGAACATCAAAGACTGATGATGTACCAAGCCGATTCTCAATAATCCGTTAATTTTTCGACTCCCGTTTTATCTCAACCATAGTGTTCATTAGGCCAATTAATTTAATAATTTGCATTGAATTCCATGAAGTTTCAGCAAATTCAAGGGATTATCCTAAAATCTTCTATTTATTTGCTTATTTATTGAATTCTTCGATTTTTTTAAACAAATCAACGAATTAAATAAATGTCTTATGATGAACAGAAATTATAAGCTATAGAGTGGTTTGTACAAAATTATTCAGGCCGAGAACGTGTTGAAGATCCATTCTTATCCCAATTCCACTCTGTGGGGCCTAATCAGTGAAGCTAGCCAAACCAGAAATGCTCTATACTGTTAGAGGGAATTCAAGTAATTAATATTATTCTATTTTTTCTTGTGGAGCTTTAGAAAAGCTGGTTGGTGTCTATTTTTTTTTGATTTTCTAGTTTTAAATTATCTAGAAGCAACAAAAATTGCTCGCCATTAAATGCTTATTTTTAGGTTCTTATTTTGGACTGAACCAGCAAAATTGTCAAACAAATGTCTCCAAATCGCTTTTGTTCACCTCTTTGTAAATCTTCATCAAAATTCGCACATCGTTCTTCAGCCTTCTTGCCAAAAGTTTATTTTTAGCTGAAAAATTAAAATTAGTAAAATTGTTAGAAATTGTTAAAAAATTTTGTAAAAATTTATTATTCAACGTATTCGTTTGTAGTTCGAGATGAAAACTGGTATTATTTAAAAAATTTTCATTTCATTTCAGCATAAATTAATGCTACAAATCTATCATCATTATAGGATGAGTTTCTTAAAAAAAATTATTGACCTCAAAGATAGGAACCCGCATCCATTTCATCGATCTTTTGCTTCAGTGATCTCAATTGATTTATACCACAGAATCAACCATTGTTCTTTCTTACTAAATGCCATCCCAACAGTCATCTTCTTTAATCAAAATACCACACATCATTATTTGCTTATTATTTCATTCTTTTGATAAAAAAATTAAGATTACATTTCCGTAATTTTTTGAGAAATATAAGCTAAGGAAATTCGGAATTTATATAAAATTTATTAAAAAAATCTTTTGCTAATTTTCTTTGAATTTATCGAAATGGGAAACGATGAAATAACTGTGAAATCACTCAAAAAAATATCATTCTATTATATTTGTTCATCATCAAATTTAAAGTTAATTCCTCCATAAAAATCATTTATTGTAGTAAGTGGCTTCACTCATCGGTTTTAATTAGGCTCGCTCCACTGGCTATAATAGTATAATGTGACTATTTTGTCAGGATCATCAAGATATATATGGGGCCTTTGGGTGTCATACCCAGTACTGTTCGGTTTTTTTAAGAGAGGTTTACGTCTACTGCTGAAGTTTGATTTCGAAATGATCTAAATAACAACCACTCGGTTATTCTGTCCCCTTTGCTTCTTTCATATATTAAACAACAAAATGGATTTGAAATCTATTGTTTATAAAGCCGAATATATTCTATTATATCGAGAATCTATAAAGTTCTTTGCAAAATATATATAACCGAAAATTATTATGCATTTTTAATCTGATGATTATTAGTTGGTAGTGAATATCTTGCTTGAAGATGATTATATAGTGATGAAGTCATTACGATTTCTTTTCTTCTACATCACTAACCCTTTAATTGAAAATAATTTGTTATGACTGATCAGATCTGCAAATTACAAAAGCCTCAGAAAAATAAATTTATAGAATCTGTAAAATTCTAGTCAAGCTAATATTCAAACAAATAATTGTTCTTTTTGTTGAAAATTTCCACAAACCGCGTCATACTGAAGGCTCGAGTGGAATAGTTTTTCCTCACTATAGAAAAAATATTATTTTAATTGTCGGTTCTGGGTAATTTTCGCACTGGTTAATATGCTGGACATTCTCTTACATTTTCATTCTGTGGTGTCTCTAGCCGAAAATCACGGGCTCATTAGGTGTAGCCAGGAGTGAGAAATTATTCGAAAAAAAGGTTATAAATGCATCAGTTAATACTGAAAGTTTCACTAAATCAGATTTAGCATAATGGCTGGCTGCTGAATAATATTATAATTATCATTAATATTAAACTTATGCGTGTAACCGACTCTCACTATCGAATAATTTGCATTTCAAGCACGGTTATTATGATCCTTATCTTCAGCTCATTAATTCTCGCAGTAATGATAATAATCACAATTGTTAAAAGAAGCAATTAATTTATACATACCAATCTCTTAAAGGAGATTTCGTTAACAATTATGTCATGCATGACACTTTAACACATGTGATCTTTTCAGTCATAAAAAAACGCATAAGACAATCCACAGATAAAATTTTTTCTGCAAAATTTTTCTGTAGAATTCTTTTTTTATGTTAAAATTAGATATAAAACATTTTGTATAATAAATAAGTGATTAATTTTCGCAAAATACACAGCTAAAAGGAAAACATTCAGCAATAAAAAATAAAAACAAAGGTCGTTAGCACACTCGAATTTAGGATCCAAGCCTTTTTGCAACACGATAATCTAAACCCCGACCAACTCACCTATCCTTCCCTTCTCCTCCATTATTTCGTATTGATCACTTCTTTTTTCAACTATTCAAATATTCTTGTTTGTCCTGAATAATTACAACTTTTATTGTTATCTTCTTGTCGAAAGTAGAATAGGAACTGTGCAAAACTTTCCTAAAAAAAAATAGATGGAATGTATTAAATGATTTTATAAATAAATAATCTAAAAAATGGAATAGTGAGGATAGAATTCAAAAAAAACCACGACCTTTTTCCAGAAGATTTCAACCGATTTTCAACGTCTTGTGTTGTCGATTACCGTAATTCGTTCTTTGGGTGGAGTGCATTAGGAGGCGTACACATTTGGAGAAGGACAATTTGATTGAATAATCTATCTGAATACAACATTTTTATGACGTACTAGCCGAGAACGATTGTGATTTTGGCGTGGGATTATCCAACTAAAATTTCGGATAATCAGTGATTTTATTTAATTATTTAATCTCATCTTAGCTCGGATCATCTCGTTTATGTTTAATTTTTTGAGTAGGCATCACTAGATTGATTTAACGAATATTGAACTAAAAATACCTTTAAAAACTTTTGAATTTATTTCTTGAGTTTATCGCATGGGTTAGTCAAAAAGTACCTTTTTATCTTCCGATCACTGAACGGTCGTTTTTGGTAAAAATTGAGCAAAGACCGATGTTCAGAGAATTTTGGGCTAAATTTGCTTCATGAAATTGATTAGAATTTATCTAAATTTCTAAATTTTTTTACTGAAAAATTTACTTTTCTTCAATAAATTATTATCAAATAATTCTCACTAAATTATCTCCGTACTTTTGAAACAACGATGAATATATCACATAAACAAATTCTTAAAAATCGAATGAAAATATATCAAAAAAATTTTTTTCAAAGATTTTTAAAACTTAATTTCTGGGATTCTTGTGCTGTTTTGGTGAGAAATTCAAAAATTGCTCTCTCAATTAAAAATTTTCGCAAAAAAATTTGGCTTTCTCAGGTTTTGTGCTATTGCTTTTCATTTTTCTTTTTTAATTATTGAAAAATGTTTGAAATATCGCTTTGTTTATAATAAGATTTGAAATCTCCCTTTAATATCCCTACCATAATTAACTTTTCTAAATTTATTGTTCTTAGGAATATTTTTCCAATAATTTTTTAATGCTAATGGCCAAACAAAGCACCGAATCTTTTGAGGATAATAGAAAATAATTTGGATAAATGTAGATAAATGATGTAATTTTATAAATATGTGTAAACATTGAAAAAAAGCAGAGCACTAAATAGTGAAAAAAAATTTAAACACAAACATCAAATTTGGACTTTTGAAGGATTTATTTGTTCATATATTTATTCATTTATATGCTTAATATTATTAAATTTTATACTAATTCATGTATACTATTTTTAGTTAAGCAAATAAGTAAGCATTTGCAGTTAGATTATCAAAGGGAAGAGTGAAAGAGTTTTATTAACGAATCACTTGGGCAAAGAAGCGTTGGTTTACATCGACATTCGGTTTTTCTAAAATAGATTCCACTCTTGCCAGTGATATGAGTTGATCCATTTTGCTAAGGTAATCTAAGGAATACATACCAGTTATATACTTAGTTTAAGATCACAATTTTTAATGAAAGAATTTCAAAAATATTGTAGAACTGAGTTTGAAGTTGAAATTAAGAATATATTGTGCTGAGATCTCTAATAATGCAAATAAACCTTAAGGGCCATTTTTCAAATTTTCGTAATTTTAATAATCCAGCTTAATAAAAGGATCTAAGGTGCTGAAATAGTGCCAGACTAAAGCTTCATAATTTTTCGTTAAATTTCCTGGCTTTTTTAGAAAATCGTTTCACGCTTATTTCATTCGACTTGATTTATTTTAAAAAATTTGCAGAATTCATGTGATCACTTATTTTATCGAATACACTCGGCAAAATCGAATAGATGCAGAACTTTAATTTCCCATTTCATTCACAAACTCATTTTCCTTATCCGGCATCACTTGCAGCATATTTCAATCCAACAAGTTCAACTGTTACCAGCAATAGGTTAGCACAGTGTCAACTATGTCTTTTTATTTTGGCTCAATTGATAAAATGTGCTGGTTAATTACACTTGATTCCCATCGAACACTTATTCTTGCTCATCTTTCGAGCTAGATGAGTGGAATAGAAATTTTTCACAAAAAAATTTCCAGTCGTAAGCCGAACAGTAGGAGAGAGCGAACAACTTATAATCAACATCAACTTCGCATCTTGGAAAGATTTTTTATAGAGTCGCATTATCCAGACATGTATGCTCGTGAGCATATCGCTCAACAAATCGGCCTTCCAGAGGCTCGAGTTCAGGTGACACAATCAATTTTTTCCAAAAAGTTTGTGAAAAGAGGAAATAAGAAATTGAAGGGGAAATTGAAATAAGAATTTATAGGTATGGTTCAAGAATCGTCGCGCTAAAGAACGTAACAAAGGTCCGAAAGTTCAAAATAAAACTAATGACGCTAAAATTACGCCAACTCCACCACCACAAGAACCTCTGCGATATGCAACCGCAATAATGATTCCTGGATCACAAGAATTTAATGAAAGGCCACAACAAAGGTGATCTCAGAAATTTCAAGTTTATCTTATCTAATCCTAAAGGAGTTCATTTTTTTTACGCGATGAGCACCTTGGCCTCTTTTGATAACCTCCTTCTTGGACAATTAAGCCTATAAAATATTATAAAAAGTAATGTGATGTAAAAATAAATAATTTTTACCTTTGATAATGCTACTTATTATAGTTTTTTCTTGCGTTATTGAACGGATTCAATTTTCACAAAGTTCGAGGATTTCTTGGAGTCTATCCAGAGATCATTAGAGGCTCCACAGGACTTCCATTAGAGGCTCTCCCATTTAATTAAAATTATTTGACTGTTATGTGATTAGTTGATTATGTGTTGCAAACAGCAGAATATAATAATAAATAAAAATGGTTTAAAATGGAAATGGTTTTGAAGAGATTTATAGGCATAAAACAGAAGAAATTGGAACAGAAAGTCGAAATAATCAACAAAACAGTGGAAGTGGACAAGATCAAAGTCTTTCACTGAATGGAAGTACATCACTTACTCAAGATGGATTATTAAATCAGAGTGAATTGTCGAATCAAGATATGCTGCTAAATTCCAGTCTACAGCCAAATCAAAATGGCTTATTTAATCCGAGTGTATTAAGCAACCAAAGTGGGCAAATGAGCCAAAATGGAACATTCTACTTGAGTGGTTCTTTTAATCAAAATGGAATACAAAACCCAATGTTAAACGGGCCAATAGGTACTGAATTCATCAGTAAGTTTCAAATCGCCATTTTCCTAATAAGTAGCAGAAAAGTGCTCCCGGAATATTATAGAATCAAGATAGTCTTTGTATACTCTGGCTGAAGAAGGACTTTGCTGGCTTTGCTTAAGGCAAATGCCAATGCAGAGGTTAAAGTCTCTTAAAATTCAATTCATTTCAGATTTGCAACCTTATGCATTTGGGCAACAAATGCTTTATCCAGCGGGTTCAGCTCCTTCGACTTCTGCTAGTTCCATAAATAATAGTGCACCTCCAGGTTATTACCCCTATCCAAGTGATTTCTACAATCATTATGCCACTAATCCATATGGATCATTTTGGAATAGCAGCAATAACCGATCGTCATGATTCAAACAATTTAATTTGTTTAGTTATAATAAAAGCAATTAATTTTAAATAACGTAGGTTGAATAATAAACAATTGTTATAGATTTTTGTTTATGGAATTCAACTTTTTGCTTGAAGTTGTTATTTGTTTTTCTATAATTTTTTTTTCAAATATGCTTTAAATTGATCTCAGTTTTACACCGAGTGGTAAACTATTTGTCTTCCAGAATTGATCTCCTTACTGTGCTAAATCACCGTCTATTTTATATCCATAAATTTATCGATTTGGACACTTTTCGAGTTAAAATTCTGCGTAAAAAGACTGTTTTCTACGTGTATGACATGCAAGTATGTGTTAATAGTCACTCGACAGTCACTTTTCATTTTTCTTTACAGATAATAAGTAAAATGAGATATGAAAAAAAATTCATATTTAAACGAAGCTCGGAAAGATATTTCAGTTTTTCATCAAAAAATTTTCATGCTTCGTGTTGTTGCGTATTACTGAAGCTGATTAATCAGTGTACTATTAATTTGACCTATTAATTTTTGAGATTCTTCGTAGATTGAAAGCTAAGTTAATTTTGTAATTTTGTGAACTAAAAATTCTATATAACATTATTTAAAACGGGACTTTTTACACTATAGATCATTATAGACTAAAAATTCATTTTTGAGTCAATATAAAAGGGATGAAAAATCATTCATGAAAAGATTCCGTACTTTTCAATAATAGAATTTGAGATGAAATTCTTCTTTAATGGAAAACATAAAATCAACGGATTCAATTATATTATGATTATTTTATTATTTTATCACTTTCTGGCTCTAAATTTACGATTTTTGCTATAATTATTGAATAATGAATGAATTCCACAAACTCCATGAACCTATCGTTAAAATCATTTTAAAACATTGTTATCAGTATTATCAATAAATGGCTTGCTTACTAATCTCATATTTTTTTATAAATTTTATAAGATTTTTTGGTACATTTTGAAATTTATTTATTTTTTCCACTCATAAGAGATAATTTTATTAGTTGGTAAAGAAATTGTTTGTTAATTGGATTTTCTTTTTATAGCTCAAAGAAAAACCAGCAATTTTTCTTGATCTTTCCTCAACACTATCGGCTTAAACGAGTAATGATAAGATAGATGATAAGATTAAAAGGTAAATTGATACGCACTAGGATGGAAACTGAAATTTAATAGAAAATGATTCGTCTTACATTTGAATATAAACTACTGTATAATTTTCACCTTTTGCTCACCTTTTGCTCGTACTGTGCAAACATGTTTGTTTACGTATACAGTTCTTTTATTATATATTTTATAAGAGATATAGTTGAGGAATTTGCAGAATAAGTAAATGGGCTGAATAACTCACCTATAGCATATAGCATAAGTGCTACATTTAATAAATATTAGGCGACTGAAACGGAATATTTTTCATTATAATTATAATTCTTATTACAATGCCATGATACAGCAAATTACAATCCAATTTTTTCTGGTTTTTTAGGTAACTGCAGAAAATTTGTAATATAAATTAACATGAATTTACTATATGTTAACATAAATTTAGATTTAATCTTGTTGGAAACAGGAACTGAAACGCTACAATGCATTATTCGGAACCACTTTCTATTCGGTCGCCCATATACCTACCCCCATTAATTTATAATTTTATAGGATGAAAATGAGTAATATCAACTCTTCTGTAGCGTGTATAATAAGTAACCTGAATATTTTTTTATATTAAGTGATTTTCAAATTTTTTAGGATTTCTATATTTTCGAAAGATTAGTTAAAATTAAAAACGACCATTAAACTCCATGAATTAGTTTGATAAGACGAATATTATTCTGTCATCCCCTTATCCAATCGCCTATTTCAACGAAACTTCGTTTGATTTGGCTCAAGGAATATAATACATAAAGCATATAATAAAGCATTATTAAAGTATATGGCAGCAATTTTAAAAGAATATAAATTGATCCATCGGTTAGGCGGAAATGATCAAAAATTTAGAAAAGCATATTTCTACAGCCGCTCATCAAAGAATGCCTTGTTGGTTTCTAATATAAGAGCACTCAAATTCTATTACGAAGCCACCTTTTGACTACGCAACAAAAACACTTAAAAAAATTCGCACGTAAATGAAGTGGAGCCGACATCCAATGTAAATAGAGGATGAAATGTGGTGAGTAAAGACAATATGAATGGAACAACGACAGGTGAGCTGGCAAAGTGTGAACAACAACAAGTGGGGACAAGAAAGACTGTCCGTTATGCTGGCATATCTTGTGGGAATTTTAAGCATTATTTACACTATTTAATAAACTACAATTTACACTTATCACCTGGTAATCAGTGATGAAAAATAAATTTAAATAATTTAATTGCTGCACATCCATTATTTCTTTTCGTTATATAATTTCTACCACAATTTGTGGTGATTAATGATTCCTCTTTATCAAAAAAATTAAATTAAAAATGATTAAGGAATCAAGGAAAAAGGTTTCGCAGCAATTTTAAATTTTCTATTGGCCAAGACGATCGATAAAAATTTTGCAAATAATGATTTTCAATCGAATTTCTTCTTCTTTAATAATCAATTCTGGCTGGCCCTATTGGTTATTGGGACCAGAGGGTCTACGCCAGAGAGGGATTTGAGGTTGAGATTGCAGGCCGTTGTGTCAGGCAGACACTTAATGACAGCTTCATTCTCTCATAAAGAAACGATCAAAACTATCATGATTTTGCTTAATTCGACCCAATGTACCATTCGACCACTGTGTTTCTCCAAGAATTTCATGAGAACAATATTCAAAAAAAGGCACTTTCGAAGCGCTTAGATTTATAACAATTTTATTCAAGTTTTATAGCTTGTTAACAATAAAATTTCGATTAAATCTTTTGTATGCTTTTGTACTGTAGGAAGAGAAGGGGGATCGATTAATAGCATGAAAAGAGCGGTTAAATCAAAACGTTGAAAATATATAACGATAGATATCCACTCAACAGTATAGAATTCAAAGAATATTGTACAAAAAGAGGCCGCAAACATCTCTCAACCGCCTCGTTGAAGATACCTAAACGTAGGTTAATTTTAGATCAATTCGAGCGAAATTAATAACATAATAGCTTAATAAAATCGGATAGTATCTTCTACTCAGTACTATTTTATTATTCTATTATATGTTTTAGAAAGGCTAATTAACTCAAATCATCTTTAATGTTTTTTAAGTCTTCTTTTAATAAATGTTGCGTAAATCTCACTTTGTCATTTGTCATTGGTTGAAAGCGAGTTAAAATATTTGGCTAAAAATCGCATTTGCCCAGATTGCCCCGATTATCATAATCATCGAGGGTGAGATCCAAGGCTTCTGATCAAGGCTGTCATTAAAAAATCTGCGTGCTACTGAGAACCAATCTGCATTTACATCGATAGAGAATATTTCTCATCGTACGAAAAGCCACTGGAGCTAACTCTAACCAGTATCATTGAATAATATTAGGTAAAACACTACTGCAACTTTTTCAATAACCAGAAATTCCAAGAAATTTTCAAAAAAGGCAATTGATAGCACTTTGAAAAAAGGAGATTTTTTTTTTAAAAAAATAAAGATTAAAATGTACTCGTTGCACGTAATTACCAAAATATCAAAAGTGCAATTTTGATAGATTTAATCAGAATGAAAAATAGGAAAAGTGTAAATTCGACAAAAACAGGCGCACATGGGCTTAGAGATCTTAAATTTACCTTAAAATGGGAAATTTTATGAATCGTTGATAATTTGCAAAAAAAAGCGAGAAGGAAAAACAAAGAAGGATTAATATATTGCTGGAAAAAAACTCGTATTAAAAGAGCAAAAAATCGGTAAAACTCTTCAATAATCGTGTACATAATGGATAAATATGGAAGGTAACGTGAGAAGCCTTCAGTTAGTTTTCCGATGATTCCTTGATAGTCTATTTTCTTGTGATTTTCATACAATTATTAATTTTGAATTTTTAATATATATTTTTAATACTTTTATGCCGTTGAATATGATGACAAAAGCAAACTTTCTGCTGCAAATTACAAGTTTATTCCCATCGATTCTTGATTTATTTGATTTTCTTGAAAAATGTTACAAAGTAAATACACGAAATTATAAATGGAACACATCGCTTGACATCAACAAACTTCACTAATAAAGTGAAAGTGATGTATATAAACTATTTAAAAAGTGATTTATCCCAAAAGGACGATTAGCTTGATTGGAGGTTATCCAGTTTAAGTCGCAAATTTCATGCGATCATCTGCTTTTTTCGAAATATTCTCGATCATTAATTCATTTTTTATGTCAAAAGTCATCAAGCAATCACTCTTTATGCTCACTGGCTATTAATATCATGGGACAAACACTGGCAGAAAGCATCTTGATGACAGAAGCACTCGAATTCCTAGCGCTATCAGGATTTTTTAGTTACATTTTATTTCTGAGTAAAGTTAAATTTGGAGACGGAGGTGGGATCACGCTGTTTAATATCATTAACCAAATAGTATTATTCACAATTGAGAATTTTGTATAAAATTTCTCTCGAATTCGCTTAATGCAAAATATATTTGATAAAATTTTCTAATCGGCTGGAATTTTTAAATTCATTATAAATATATTTGACAAAATTTTAAAGATATTCATATGAGATTTTTTCTCAATTGAACAGACATCGTTAATCTCGGCACTCAAATAATTCTTCGTTTAAGCAAAGTGGTTGGTCCAAAAACGACCGACACCTTTGCTAAGCCGTATTAGCGAAAAGGTCGATTCCTTTTATTGTCTCTTTGTTTACGGTAGATAATTCTTGTCTCTTGAACAATACGTTATGCTTATAAAAATTTTAGTAGTTCTTGGCAGTCTATATTATTGACTAAATTTAAGTGAAAAAATGGACAAATATCTAAAAATGAATTGGATTATTTGGGTGCTTCGCAATTCGTTTTCTTAAAATACATTTTTATATCTAAATGAGTAATCTAAAAAGGAAAACTTCGAGGAAATTCTAAAAAAGAGGCATAAATATTGTATTGTAAAAGAGAATATGACCGGAAAATCCTTAGCAGCATTCCGATTTCCTTGTTAATGACAGATTGATTTCCATCAGGTGAAATAATCAAATCAAAGGTGAATGGCCATAGTCCAAATTATTTTTAGAAATTTTAAAGGTTGTGAAAAATTTAGTTTGAAAATCTAATGGAAATCCTAATTTATTCTTTATTTACTTTTTCATTCGAATAAACGTTACATCATAAATAAATGACCTTCCTTTGAACGATCTGTGCAAATATCCAGTATTGCCAGTTCAAAAAAAAGCACCGCCAAATGTCCACTACACCTGATGCAAATATTTGTGAAAGGATTTACGCTGGGATACAATTGGTTCTTTTTCGTTACCATAAAAATGTAAGATTTACCAACAATCGTCTTGTTATGAACAAATTAATTTGTGAACTTATTTTGCTTAGTCAAACTATTCGTATTATTATTCGTATTATTGTTAGTATTATAACTAAAGCATAATGATAGTGAAGATCACTTTTTATGGAATAGTGATTATAAAATCACTTATCTCATTTCAATATTTTTGCACTGCTTAAGAATATAAATATTGTTATAATGAAAATAATTTATTTGCGATAAATAATTCTTGTCTCTTATTGAACATTATTCTTATTCTTATAAAAACCATAGCAGTTCGTGACAAATGTAAATATTTCGCTTTGAGAAATAGGATGGCCGAGTAACATAGGTTACCTTGCCAGAAGAAACCTATTATTAAATATTGAAAATAAAAATAAAATAAGATTCTGGGTCATCCACATCCTTAAGTGCTTCTCTTGAAATTTATCCTCTTAGTGAAGATAGTGAAGCTGCTAAACCATTGGCGTTCCATTGTTAAGAAGCGTTCCATTAAAAACTTTGAAGTTTTCCAAAGGAATAAATTATTGTACAATGAGAACTGAAGATTTTTTTGATTTTTAGCAAAATTATTCTTCGTTATACAATTTATCATCCATACTTCATTCTTTCGAAGAAAAGTGGATCCATAGATGTGGAACTTCGCATACTTACGCAGACCACCCAGAAAATTCCGACAATTTGCATTCTCAAGCGAATTAATAATGATGAACTCAAACTATATACATTTGTACAAATTGCACAACAAACTAGTGAAATAAGTCCAAAGTGATGGCAATTATGTAGGTGGCTGTCATCATTTTTAATTTGGCTAGCTAGTTCCCCTATTTATACAAAATTTTAGCAGAGCTAACTGGCAACAGAAATGCGAATTGTTAGCCCCACTCCGATCTTTCATTGACAAGTATAAGCATTTTAGAGGCACCAGCAAAATCTTCACCTCTCGACACGGTGATTTGAATCGGCATCTTACGCTGAATTTAGTGCAGCAAGATAATAATAAAATTATTTTTATATATTATTTATCTGGCATAATATTATAATATTAGCATCATTTCAATTAAATAATCGTTATGGAAATAGGCAAGACAGTAGCGCTGATAAAAGTGCATTTTAAAAAAAAATTTCACTGCAAATACCAAACTGCCAAACGATTACATGGAATAACGACATTAACTCGTATTCAAGGAAAAATTTGATCAATTATGAATTAATAATGAAAATTAACAAAACAAGAGAATTAAGAACAGTTATGTGAAAATGCGACCATCATTTAAAAAAATATCAAATCAAAAAACTACAAAAAACTTAAAGTTTTAGAATGTTATTTATAATATGAATTGATCATTTAATCAATAACTGTTAATAACTGTAACTGTTAATTATTAACAGTAACTATTAATAATAAATAATAAATAACAACAAAGCAATCATATAACTTTAACTTAGGACGAAGTACAGCAGTACTACATATTGAGCAATATGGTAGATTTAAAAAACGGGACAATATTATTTTCTTCAAACAAACAATAAAAATGAAAACCAATCATCTTTGCAATTTGCTCAGTGATGAAACCATAAGAATAAGAAAATAAAAAAATCGAAAAAAAGTGCGTGGATTACAAACCATAGGGATTATCACACGAATACACTAAGAAAACTGGCAAAATTTGAAAAAAATCTGGAATATTCAAAAACCTAGGACAACAATTATTCTGGATAAAATATTAAAGTTGTGTTGTATATGAATATATATGAATGAATGATGAAACAAAAGCGAAGTTTTTGACTAAACTCGACAAAAATTAAGAATGGAAATAATGTTAAGGCAATAAATTTTTACCACCAAATAGCACATCATGACCTTCTACTACGCCATCCGGTTTCATTGGCCTTATTTCCTCACCTTCTGAAGGTTTTTCTTCATCATTCTCATCTTTATTTGAAGCTGAAAAATTACTGATTTTAGTTTGCCATATCTTATTGTATATATTTTTATATTTAATTTTGACTAAAAATAATTATTTAAATCTTTATGATATTCTAATTTTACTTATTTATTTATAAAGCAGAAAGTAAAAAAACATAGAGAAATATCATAAGAGCGATTGCACACATTCAAAACAGCCAGTGCGAACAACACATTCAACGAAGGCCATGAACTCATCAGCACATGCACCTGCTTCGAATTCTTCGGCAGATTTTTCATCCCGACATAACATTGATTCTCGAAATAAATATCCACATGGGCTTCCCATTATTGGTGCAATACAGTGACATTCAAAATTGGTCTTTCCATCTGGCAGTGTTGGTCCTGAAAGAAGATATTTCCCACATCTTCTCTTCCATAATCCAAAAAAATAAAATTAAGTTAAAATCACAAAAATAAAACAAAATTACTTTGAATGAAAGGCTGAAAAATAAAAATAAAATAACCACGAAAAAAACCACAAGAATTATTCTGTCATATTTTTTATATAAATAAATAAAATTATGCTGTATTAAAAAATATAATTTTACAATTACAATCTATGGTAATAGAAAATTATGAAAATTTATGAAAATTTTGATGGACGAAAAATTAAAAACCTGGATTGTAATTATCGTATAAATCTTCTAATGACAAATTTTTAATTGATTCTAAATACGCACTCGAAGGTGGTTTATTCCATTCTTCTTTCGTCATTAACAACGTCTAAATAGAAAATTATTTAAATATTTTGTATTTCCGACAATTTTCTAATTTTTCTTTTATATTTTATATAAAATATTTATATTTATTCGTGACGAAGATTTGACTTATTAAATTTAAACCTCAAAAGGCTGAACAAATTAAACGGCGTTAATAGCGTTCATAAAGAAGTTTAGAGAAGCATCCAATCGCTAATAATAAAAACCAATAAAATTAAAATTAAATTAAATTAACCTTATGCTGATTATAATTTATATTTAATTCATTCGATTTTTCCATCAATTTTTTTCTTTTATTAATTAAATAAAACTGAAATGACAATTTTTTGAAAATATTTCAATAAAAATAAAGAAATTGATTTTATTTCCTAATAGGACTGCTAAGCTAACTTTTGACTGCAGGGACTCCTGATAAGAATGAGTTCTTATCATCATTATAGTACTTTTCGTCTCGTTTTCTGCGCTGTCAGTCTTTGCCAGTCAGTAAATATTTATTCGAAATTTTATTAAGTTCCTATGATGTGAATCATATAAAGGAGAATTTCTTGAAGAATGAAATAAATAAATCTATAAGAATCAAGAATTCATTTGGTAAAAAAACCACTTCTAGAAAAATTAATTTGAAATGTAAAATTACTTATTAATTTTATTAATAATAAGAGAATATCTAACTAAACCATTGAATCGACTTTTAGGATTTTTAGGACTTCGCGAAGAGACAGAGAAAATCTACAAATATTTTTAATCCTTATTTCCACAAATCTCTGACAAATCGCTATATTTATATTTATTCGTGACGAAGTGTCTACTTCTCTACTAATGAAGAAATAGCACAAAAATGGAAAAAGGATAAGGAAATGAGAAGAAAGTTAGAAAAAATATTTTAAATGCGCCAGTGACATATAATATAAATTTAAATGAAGAAGAAATGCTTGCTCTTACTTAGCCAATGAGGCCGACCTGAGGTTTCTTTCACTTGGCTGGCACAGGGCCGAGAGGCTCGGAAAAAACACCTCAGCCAATGCGGCAGACCTGAGGTTTCTTTCACTTGGCTGGCACAGGGCCGAGAGGCTCGGAAAAAACACCTCAGCGACGTAAAAATCATCCAACAAGAAAACAGTAACAGTAACAGTAATGAAAACAGTAACAGTAATAACAGTAACAGTAAACAGTAATGAACAAATCTCCCTAACATTCGATTCATATTAAACTTTATTGTATAAATTTAAATATTAGGCGAAATCAAAATCTATTTTGCAGCTTCGGCTGAAAGGTTTGAGTTTCACTCGATTCGGCAGGTATATTTTTATTGGAAGAAATGAATTTGCCTGAAAGGTGCTGAAGGATAGATTTGAGGTAGAATGGTGTTATCAAATTAATCTTTCTATGGTCGTAATTAAGGAGGGTAGCCGAGTGGTTGTTGTTGAGACCATCCTGCTTCCATTAGAATTAAACGTTCCATCAGAAAAAGGTCGGATGGTGCTGGGGATCCACGTACCGTTAAGTGTCCTCTGGCAAAGATTTCTGGCCATACTGGCAACTCGGAGCTAATTAGAGATCTTATGGCTCGTTTCACCCGTTGCTTCTATTCGGTCTCCTGGTCTCCTGATTGTCATTTATGAAAGGCACTCCTTTTTCCCGTATATCACCGAGCCGCCTTCATATTCAAAATCCCCTTTGACCATATCTGTGCGGGTCTTGGTTGACCTTCCTTTTTGACACCATCCATCAGAGCAGCAAATCCAGCATAGATACATGTTAATACTTGTGCTGGTGAACAAACAACAACGTGGTCAAACCAGTGCAGATAGCGGTTTATGATAATATTCTTAAATGGTATTCGAGGAGATGTATGCAACCATGTGAAACAGCTTGGGAGGGCGTAGGATGTGCCTTAAACAAAACTGGCCGAGGCGAGTAGCTTCGTTCCACTTTTTTTAGTTTCACAACCATATAATGGGATTCTTTGCTACATTTAGACACGTCAGTTGGAAGAAAACCTTTAGTTGCAGCCATACGAGTCGGAATTTTATCTTCCATCTGGCCATTAAGCATGACTCTTTTGTGATCCGAAATATTTAAAGTCAGACCATTCCTCGAAAATTTTTTTGAATTTTGATCTCATAAACGTCTGGTTTATAAGATAAGACAAAAAGAGTTTTCTCTTACTCATTTGAAGCATATTTCGAAAAACTCAATTTCCCACACATCTGCGCACATAAAAACGCTTTTATAAACCTGTTTAATTTTTCTAGTTCTTTAATTCAGAATTCTTTAGAATGCCAAAAATTAATGCAGGTTGGTAGGTATTCGAAGCGATATTCTTAACTTGAAGACTTGATCAATATAGCGTCTTAGCCTAAGTCCTGGTTAGGGCGCGTCCTGTTGTCAAGTACTTTCATAAATCTAAATTTTCCCAGAAATAGCTAGAAAGCTGATTCCTCTGCAGTTGTTATAGTGCATCTTATCACCTTTCTTGGGAATTGGGAGCAGAACTGCATTGTTCCAGTCACATGGCATTTCAATCCTCTCAAACCAGTAAATACAATTCTTGGAGACGTGTAGTGAACCGAGAATGAATTAGACTGGCTGGATTGGTGCCTCGTAATTATAATCATTCGTACGACTTTAAATACATTCTAGTTATGGTTGGGATAATGGATGATCCACCTGTTGTGACTTTTTCGTTTAGATTGAACGGGGTTGTAAGGCTGTCACACCACAACGATATAATAATAATTTATTTTTATTGAAAATGGGAACAGTAATTTAGGTAAAACATAAATTAAAACTGTAAAACATAAAAAACTGTTTATACTGCAAAGAAAAGAAGAAAAAACCCACTCCAACACAACGTTCTCCCAGAAAAAAAAAGGGGCGCGCAAAATTTTGGTATCGAGCGCGCTATGAGAATTTTTATTTTTATAAGCAATGATTCATAGTTTCGAGAAAATTCTCGACACCATCCAATGTACTTTAGGTTAAAGGAACTTTTGCAAAATAGGTGGATAATTTTCGATGATTGCCTTGAGCTGCTGTCTCCATATTCAAAACCACATCTTTTCAGCATCGATTTTTTCTATTTTCTGTTCCGCCATGACCGTTGCGAGTCTATGGAACTGCCGATAGTTAGAATTTCCTAACACATGCGCTGGTAGCTCGATCGGGCATCGACCATTTTATCTGAGTCTCAGCTTGGCTTCCTAGTCGTGTTTCGTAGGGGCGGATTTAAGTAAGTAAATGTTATAGATTTCGAACTTGGATCAATTCTCAAATGTTCCAAAGGCTTTTAGATATTCCAGAAGTTCAGCCTGTCCTTAAATCTTTTAACTTCAGGTGATCAAAAGATCTTGTGGTTTACTGTATGTTTTCAGTTTCATTCGAGTTTTGACCATGGCATTGTAGAAGTTACCAGTATCATTTTTACAATATTTCATGTTATTCACATCTATCTAGAATTATTCCATTTCGTGATTCCAAATTATAGTTTACCTAATTCGATTGTTGTCTGGCAAATTCCACTAGTCTTTTGGAATTTTGAAAGCATATATTGAAAGCCAACACTGCTCATCATAGCGAAGAAGACTTATGCATGCATTTCATTCTTCCGCGATCTTCTTTTATTTCTAACAGCTCTCACCATTAATGGTTAGGTTGGCTCCACTGGTTACACTGGTAAGATGTTTCCAAGCCGCGCGATCTGATACTATTGTCGAGAGTAATAGAAGCCACCCTTTTTTCCATTGTCCAAGTCCATATATTTCTGGTCCACCTATACGTTCAAAATCTTCTTTGACCGTGTCAGTCCAGGTTTTGATTGACCCACCTCGTTTTTAAGGCCACCCATCACAGGATTTAATAAGTAACGAAATATGTGTTAACTCTTGTGGTGGGAGACGAAGAGTGTGCCCTAACCAGCGAAGGTAACGCTTTGTGATGCAAGTGGTACTTAATATCCAAAGATGAGTGCGATCATGTGAGATTTTATCCACTCGACGAACCGTAAAATGTACCTTAGACATAAATGGTCAAAAACAGGTAACCTCATAATCCTCCATTGGCTATATCTCGCAGCTATATAGAAAGATTAAACGAATTGTGGGTACAGACTTTAGTTTTTATCGTGATTTCGGGACAGCTATATAAAGGTTTCGTCAACCGGAAGAATGCATTTCTAACTGCCTTATCACAGTTATAATTTCGTCTTTTGCCTGACCATTCGGAAAGAACGCAGCCTTAACGGATTTCAATTCTTATTTCGAATCTGTCAGTTCCCCATATATACAGACCAGACAGCGATGTATGCTGATAAAATGCCTTTATGAGTCGAATGATCTCTGGTACACTGTCGTGTTCCATCGTTATGATCGTCACCATTATATTCCAAAGTACCGTTCCATCAATTGAATCGAAGGCTGCAAAGTCGATGACGGTGGGTTGCAGATATTTGTAGCGATTTCCACCATTTTTAATGTGAATATCTGTTTAGCACAATCGCGCTCCGGCCTGAATTTTTGCTAAGATCTAATAGGCTGATTCTTCGATAATTGTCGCAGTATGTCCTGTCATCCTGTTATCTTTCTTGGAAATTGGGAGGAGAGTTTCTCCAATCATCTGGCATCTGGCAATATTTTTTTTCATACCAGAAATGAATTTTAAATTACCATGAAATCAGAAAAATCAAATTTTATCAGTAAAAAATATTTTTTTACAATCTTGAATAAATCAATCTTTCTTCAATTCAGAGATCAAATTCCGTGAGTAACCAAAGGATTTTGACGTTTTACAGCCATATAATAATTTAAAAAATTTTTTTCCTTCATTTTTGGTAAATTTCCGTTAAAAAAACTAAATTTACCAAAATATATAAATATAGCTTACAAGAATACAAAATTACGATATAAAATCAAGTTTTGCAAAAAATTTTTTAGCGAACTTCTTATAAATAATAAAATTTTACTTGTCAATTGCAAATCATTATGCCAAAAGCAAAAACAAAACTAAAAATTTGCGAAGTTGGTAATGTGAAGAAATAATGGAAATGTGAAAAATTACAAAATTACCAGACAAATTTCCGAAAAAAATCCCAATAATTCTAATTCTAATGCAATAGAAATTTTTATTTTGATTTAAGATTTTAATGAAATTGTCAAATCGATGAAGAATTATTTGTGACAAAATTATTGTCCACAGCAAACTTTGCGCCAATTGAACGAACCTATATAATAAAATTATTTCATTTTTTGCAGTTATATAAGTTTTAATTTGCAGTTCTTTCATATTTAGGAAACGTAAGTAAATTTCTCAATTTCATGAAAAACATTGTGGTTCTCTGATTCAAGAATAAACTTGTATTAAATTTCTAGTGATTGATCTTTCTATTAACAAAAATTTTTAAAACCATCCTGCTGAGCTATCTAAAGTAGCAATGGTGAGCAAATCATTTAATTATTTCTTAATATAATTGATAACGGGTTGGAATTTTTTCAAAATTTTCTTATATGAATTATGTAACGAGAGAAATCTGCCATTAAATCTTTTCCTTAATAAAGGGGTCAATGATCTTAATGGCTTCTTCGAAATTTTTCGGAGTAAAAGTGGAAAAATACAAACTGGCGGAAAAAAATGGAATGAAACTAAAAAAATGAGGGGGAGTGAACAAGATAGCCGAGTGATTGTTGCTCAGATTCTCATCTATAGCATCAAGGTTCGAACCTCACCTCCGACAGAACCGAACTTGCCATTAAAAAAGCGATGATATCGAATGGCAAAGATTTGCCATCCAATAAAACAAGTAAAGCGAACCTAATAACTACTTTTTATTTGCTGGTCACTACTTTATTGCATTATAAATATTTATTTATGAAAATTTAAAATATAATAATAAAATTATAAAATTATAAATTTTATAAACCATTATAAAATTTTATGGAAATGGTAGTTTTACCTGGTTTGCTTGATGTGCCATATATTCGAATCTTCGTTTTCGATATCGATGTTGACATCGAGTTTCAAATGCGGATTTAACGATAATAAATACAACGGAATTCGTTGCCGAATTTAGTAAAACGAGAATATTCATAATCGCTTGAATTAATGGCATTTGCCTGCCATTCAGAAAAATTTGTGGCTTCAGAGATAATCCAAGTGGTTGCCATATTTCAATAACAGTTGGCCAACAACGAAATATTATAAATTTTCCCAGCAACATTAGTGAGATCATCTGAAAATTTTTTTATTTTATATCAATTTTTTAAATTTATTTTGATTGCGATTTATAATTGGTATTGTTGTATAATGATTATGATTTATAATGATTGTAGACTCGAGAAGACAGAGTCGTCCAACAGTGCTTTGCTTCGGCTCAAGGCTCACCATAGATTCACGTGAAAAAAACCATCGAAATCGAACCATTATCGAACCATCGAACCATCGCAAATCGAAACCATGGTGGTGATGTGTGCTTAAAAGTCGAACAAGAGGGGTTTTTCTTTTTTATGGCAGTTTCTTTTTATTTTTAGTCATCGTCATTATAAAATACAGAACAATTCAAAATACATCTAGGACTGACTAACGGATGAATACTGAAATAGTCCATGAGTGTCGGAAAAAAGTGCATGCACTTGCGATACTGAATAAAAGTATTCATCGAAAATTATAATTTACGATGTTAATAAATGAAAATTATAATTGTTTAACAGATTCGAAGAAAACAGCGAATATGTTATGGAGAATGTTTAGTCGATAATTTTCAAAAAAACAGCGAATATGGTTAAGGGAAATGGTTAATAGAAACAGCGAATAAAGGCGAAGACGAATAGTTAATCCTAAAAAATATAACTCCTTCTAGGAGCCATACTTACCGATTTGGATTGGGCTTACAATCGCATGCAGGTGGATAAAAAATTATGTAAAATTATGTACAAAATTAGTTTATTTTTAGAGGAAATTTGAGGAAATTTTTTAATAATTGTTTTTTTGATATATAAATAAAATTACAAATTAGTTTTACAAATTAGCTAACAAATATGTGGACAAAGAAAAAAAGAAAAATAATTTTGTGCAATTTTCAAATTGAGTAGTTGTCTGCTTATAATGTGAAAAAGCTTTGTTCAAGAAATATTATTTTCCCTTTTTTTTATAAATTCTTATCTGCTTTCCGTGTTACTATTATTTTTTATTTTTCTTTTTCCGATAACGAGAGGAAAGCACTAATAACAACTTTCTTAATTAACTCTCTCCTGAAGTCTTGTCACAGCTAAAATGACGATTTTTGGACAAAGAGATTCATATGCTTCATTATTTATAAATGGATATTATTTTCATTTGATTATTTATTCTTCATTATTTATAAATATATAATGTTAAATCTCATTTGATTTTCGATTTAAAAAATTTTGTTTGCCAGATTGCCAAATTTAATAAATTTCTGCATTAAATTGCAATCGTAGGTTAAAAACTGATAGAATGGTTCATGCCTGCAAAGATTTCGCTCTATCAACGTCAAGTTCCCGAAAAAATTCCTGCTGATGCTTAGCTAATAAAATTGTGCGTTCGTTTAGTGATTTTCGAAAACCATTGATAGTTGCGATCGTTAATATAGCTATAATTAAAAATGGTGCAAATGTCTTTAGGCAAGTTATAAGTAAGGTTCGATAATAAAATCGATATGTGGAATTCTTCAGCAAATCTGTTTCTTCAATCTGCAATACTGCAATACTTCTTGATAAAATCTTTTTAATGACATAAATGTTCTATTAAAGCCTAATTTTGAATGAATAGCCAACAATGAAATCTATATGCACTCTATTACTACTAGCGATGGCGTCGTTGGTGAGAGCTGTTAGAAGAAGAAATCTGTATGTTGCGTTTTAAAAATGCATTTCTCACCTGCGTCATACGTTGGTCACCATTTATGCATGGCACATAACGATATTCAAATAAAGTCGGTGAAGCAATTATGGCGGCAATAATTGTTATAATAAGTGGAGCTTTATTAACAGATATAACTAAATGTAAGCATGAATGTTTACGATGCTTCCTGACTGGAATACGCGAAGATCGAGTCCGGGTAAAAGGTCTTGTAACTGCAACGAAACGTCTCGCTGTCACTTCGATGAGCAGCCATGTCTATAATAATTTTATTGAAGTGTTCTAGAAAAAAAATTTCTAAAATGAAACCTTAACCAAAAAAAATGTGTTATAGAAAGGCCAAGTTAGTTTTAAATATGACAAAAAGTGCATGCTTATCCCTGCATTATGAATTTCTGAATGACCAGGATATCTTTAAATATAAGTTAGAGAATGGTCACTACAGTATCTATATTTAGATTATATTTGGTTAAATTATAGTAGCATTCGTGTTTTAGTTTGCATCATTGGACTGTTGGAACCGCACTGATAACTAAGGACAAAAACACAGGTGAGCCATTAGTAATTGAATTTCGCGTTTAATGATGGTTTATCTCCTTGTCGAGAGACAGCACCGAATTATGCTGCTTATCTGAAGGAGAAACATAAAAATTGGCCATCAACTCGCCCACTAATCTTTGGTGTAGAGCTATAATGTGAAATATTCTATGAACAACATTCAAAATTTCTGATTTGGCCAATAAAACGAGATAGTAATTTTGCCAGATAGTAGTAATTGTTGACATATAGATGGGCTCCCAGACTGTTATTGGTCCATTAAGGAAATCAATCAACCAGTCGTGATTTCACTTTTAAATTTTTTACCATTAGGAATAGGAATGGAATCAGTACAATAGAAAAAAATTAAAATTTACCGCAACGATTTGCACGAACAAAAATATTCCATTTATGAATGTAGCATAGACACTGATGATATTCGCTTGCGTATGAAGAAGGTTAGCATTGGATTTAATAGCAAAATATACAAAAGCAACAATAAGGAAGATAAAATCCCATAAAGCCAAAGCCATCAATGATACCTTCATCGAACTATTCATTCGCCGTTGGAAGATTAGTAAAGCACTATAAATATTGCCAACTACACCAAGAAATACAACAAATGTTGTTATTGGTCCATTAAGGAGATCAATCAACCAATCATGATTTCGCGGACGGCATTCCAGTACCATCATCCTTATTTATAAGGCCATTTCTAAATGAACATGTAGAGAGTAGAGAGTAAATATTCTTATTCGCGTTCAACATCCTGGTTAAATCCTATTTATCCTGGTCAAGTTACTGGCTACCGAAATATAAGTCTGTGGCGTAAGCAATCTATGCTAATGAAATAGCTATATTTATGGCATTTAAATATTTTATGTATCTGGAATAAAATAAGATTGCTTTAAACTGCGAAAATTCAGTATAATAACTCTTTTTCCTTAAAATCCATCATATTTTGAGAAAAGTCTCAAGAATTCGTTAGATATTGAATTTTTAAATATATATATATATGTATATCTCACCACTTGTGGTGAGTGGTAAGGATCATCCACAACCTTGAATCCTCTACCAGAGTCCTGGGAGATTGAGGGTTCTGCGCAATACCATAGGTGTTCCTAATAGTGCTTCCGGATAAGGGTCTCTAATGATAAGGAAGTCATTTTTCTAGCTTAGGAGTCATAGTTCCAAATGCTCCAATTATCACTGGAATTACTTTGGTCTTTAGTTCCTCTTTTAGCCTTTAATATCTCTCTAATTTCTCATATTGCGTCTTCCTGATGTTACTATCGCTTGATATTGCAATATCAATCAAAAGTGCTGACTTCTGATTCTTGTCTATTAATATCTGGTTGGCCGGTATTTACTTGTCTGTTTGGTTCGAGAAGTCCCAGAGGACTTTATCTTTATCTTATTTTCTATGATTTTTTGAGGAATCTCCCATTTAGTCTTGGGAGGGCCTGAACCATATAATATGCAGATGTTCCTGTAATGAATTCCAGCTGCTTCGTTATGCATTTCAGTTGCTTGCATTTTATATCCTGCCACTATGTTGGAATGTTTCCGTTTATGCACAATTTGCACCTAGAGTTATGTCTAGTGTGGCATGTTGGTTCGATGGATCTGGTGCTGTTATAATCAATGCTTTTTTCTCCTATTTTTTCCAACCACTGCTAGGATTTCACAATATTAATAACCTCAGCTATCTGTGGGTGCTGCAATTCATGGAGAACTTTGTTTTGCCATTGTATTTACTCTGCTTGATCGTTTTCCAATGTCTCTCTACATGCTATATTGTAGGGAGTTTCCTGGTCTTTAAATCAACAGTCTCTATATCTTCCTTTGCCCATCTAATAGCGCCAGCTGCGTATCTTTTATGGCTTGAATTTTATTCTTTCCACTGAGCTGATATATCGAGATGATATAATGCACTGAATGAAGTATTAATTGGTGCTGATGGGCTGATTGTTCGAGAACCACTAGTAATAGTTTGCCTGTTAGCCTGTGCCTTTTGGATTTTTCTTGAGTGAATCGCTATCCTCTCTCATTTTGAGTCGAAAAAGGGAAAAGGAATAATAAGCATAATAAGAGGGAGTGGATATTTTTGATTCGTCATGTAATTTTGTTTTGCAAGATTTGTCTTGTTCTTTGGTGAAACTTAGATATTGCAGTCTTCCTTGCCTCCTTATCGTGATTGCCATCTGGCTGTGGGATATGATTTGTAGCTAGCCGGTATATCCGCTGTATATCTCTATGGCAGGTCCACATTGCTGCTTGTTCTCTACTACCATTCGGCCACATTTATAATCTGAAGGACATGCCAATGTTCTCTCTGTAGATCCGAGTTAGATGGATGAACGAGACAATGTCTCGTTCACTTTTTGGATGTAACTTGATATCATCCATATAGAAAAGATGGCTGATGGAGTCGCATTCTTGAATATGTATTAATATCCGCTTCTGGTGATTGTATGACTAAGAGGGTTAGACTTATGCAAAACAATAGAAGAGAAAATGATATATATATGGTGCACCTGATAATCACTTGTAGAAGCTATTATGAGTTGATTCCAAGCGTCGTTTTCCACGAAAAGTTCTTGTCTTTAGGGTCCTGTTGTATAGAATCAGACATTCACGGATCCAGGCGTGGAGTATGGGGTCATATGCTTTCCTATATTCAGTCCAAGGTGTAACGGATTAGTCTGCCGGGATCTTAAGTTTTGAGCGACTGTTTTATCGATGAGTAGATGGTGTTTGGAGCCTTTGGTGTTGTTTCAGATGCGCTTTTGAACTTATATGGTCATGAAGCTTAATGGTTATAATGCCTTATAGGATTTTCCTTATTATCAAGAGACAGGGTATTGACTGATCGTTGGACGATTCCCTAATGAGATTGTTGTTCCCTAATGAGATATTTCATGATTAATACCATCCTTCCTTGTGTTAACCAATCTGGATGAGAACCTGCCACAAACAGCTGGTTCATCTGTGTTGATAGACATTCATGAACCGATATTAGCTTCTTCAACCAGTAGGTGTGGATCATGCTCGGACCAGGTGCTGTTCAACTTTTCATGTTTCTGAGTCGCTGTTGGATGTCAGCAAATGCGATGGTTTGTAGTCCTACTCTAAGAAGTTGCTGTGACTTATTACTTGTTCTCAGATTTTGTAGCCACTGGTGTTATAAATCTTTTTTTTCCATATATTCTCGCACTATTGTATAGTTAGTGGATCTGTTATAACCATATTATTGCACTGAAGTTAAGAATACATCTTGGACGGTTCTTTGTAGAACAAGGCATCTTTTTAGCCTTTGTTTCTCTAATATACCACCTTAGCCTAGTGGCCAGTGCTATGAGCTTTTGTTTAGCAATCTTGGGAGCTTCTGATAAAATCTTCCAGTAAAATAGATCTACTATTATTGTTCTTCACACCTTTCTATAATTTTTCAGCTAGCTAATTTCTTTGCCTTCTCCTTATACCCTTATTTTTCAGCCTACTTTTCCACAGAAATTGCATTTTTATTCTTCTTGGTTTTATACCACAGCATTTCAAGAATTGTAATGATTGTAGTGTATACCAATTCATTAATGTTATACTGAAATTGGGAATTGTTGCGATGGCTCTATTTATATCTTCGATTATTTTATCTGTTGGTGCATCATCGAGCCTCGGTCTCAATGATTAATTACAGCAATTTTATTCATGATTTTCCACCTTATTTCAATTGCTCTGCTTTCCAGCAGAATTACTGGAAGGCAAATTCCAGCTTCCCAGCTTGCATATCTCTTCTTTCATCTTTTCGCTGAATATTCTGAATCTGGGGTGCAGAATTGGTCCATCTCCAGTTGAGAGAAAATTTTCATCTTTCTTATATTAAAGCATTTAGCCAACTAGAAAAAAAGACATAGGTCTTTTTTTATCCATAATGCCTTTATATGTTTCATATAACCCCTTTGATTAGGCCTATATATTAATAACATTTCATCAGTTCCAGATTGTCTTGTCTCCTCCATGTTTGTTCCAGAAGCTTTTAATGCTAGACTATCCTAGTCCCACAACAACTGGCGCTTTCCAGTAGCCCATTTGTCTTCAGATAACCCTCTCCTTTGACATGGGCTTTATTAATCCGACTGCGAGCCGACAATACTCTAGCGAACGATATTTTTATATTGAGGTAAAACAAATAAGCATTAAGGAAATCTTGCCCAAGGCTCCTACTGAAAGGCTTTTGGCTACAATTCGAACCAAAACATTGTATATATGTACACATATTTACATTAAGATATCATTTGTCTTAGAGAAATGTGGCCAAATGGTAGTAAAGAGAGGAAAAGAAATATAGCGAGCTAGCTATAAAGTACCTTGGTATCCCACATGGTAATCACTATGAGGAAGCAAGGAAGGCTGTAATATCCAAGTATCACCAAAGAACTAAACAAATCTTGAAGAGCCAGTGAAAGTATCTATCTTGAAGTATCAATGGGAAGAACAAATCTATGCCACAAATGTATAGTATCATGCCAGTCATCAGGTACACAGTTGGCATAGTAAAATGGTTAAAGGAAGACATGAAGACATGACTCTTAGGTAAATACTAAGAAACTCTTCATAGTGCGCGAGGATTTCCACCAAATTTCCCCAAGTCCAATGCCTAAAGACTATATACTAACTAGAAAGATGAAAGGTGGGGCTTTGATGAGTGTGTAAGCCTTTGCCGTGGACAAAACTCGAAGCATTCAGAAATAAATGAGCAAGATGGTACCAAAGGATAAGCTGCTGAAAGTTAGAAAACGATAAAGCAGAGGAAATATCATGGCCAAAGACTCTGAAAGAAAACTTTTCATGGGTTGCACCATCGACAGATAGCTGATAGCATTATTCATTGCATCAGATATTAACCACCAGATCCATCGTCGTAGGAATTTACCACCTCAAACATGACTTAACGTACAGACTATGCAAAAAAGCCTTTAAAAAAACCGATGGTAGGGTTTAAGATGCAAGCAGAAAGGCAGGAACAGCATACACTGGAAGGCATAACTGAGTAATATTGTATGCTTGAATATCTGCTCATCATGTGGCTTCTCTGATCAAGTGAGAGATTCCCCGTGAAGAATAATGAGGCTGAGATTTTGTGGGACAATTAGAGAAATACGAGGAGCTGAAAGAAGAATTAGAGAAGATGAAAATGGTGGCCAAAGTAATTCCAGTGGTAATTGAAGCACTTGGAACTGTGGTCTCTAATAGATACCGGTGAATCGCCAGTATCAACCGGATTTTTGGACTTATTATTTCTCAAGGTTTCGAATAAAAATCTACTGGTTCTTTACTCTTCTTTACTTTTTTAGCAACTGAAACTGTCATGCAATAGAGCGCGGTACCAGGCAGGAAACCTAGGCCATGATTGCCGCAAATATCTTACCACTGAGCCATCGACTTTCGCAAGGCAAGCCTATTGGAAAAATGCCGAATTCGAAGAAAATAAACAGCGGATAAAGCTTTTCATTCAATAAACAATGTTTTCAAAGAAAGATAGAAGAAAAGGACCAATGCAACATACTGTCTTAAAACCTGAATGAACCAAATCATAGCAGAAAATTATACTTACTTGATTTTCCCTTTCATGATTCTATATTTTTAAAATTTTATTAGCTCACATTAATATTAGTGTGATGATAATAATAAGCAA